ATTCCTTGTTGAAATGCAAACACACCTCCGTTCCGTTTCAGTCGGTAGCTCGAAGTTATTCTGAGCCTTGAGTTCAGCAATGAGATCGTCGTTCGCCGCCAGTTCATCCTTGGTCGGCAGGACGGTCGAGATCGGGGGTGTAACACCCCACTGTCGGACAGGTGGCGTAGCCATTGTGGGGAGGAAGCCGAAGTGGTAAGATTCGAGATCTAGTCTCACAAGCCGTGTGAAGATAGGGATTAGATAACGAGAAGTGGTGGACAAGCTCCCGAGGCAAGCAGCGCCGGAAGAAAATTAGGTGATGCTGGGAAAGGACAAATATTATTCCCTAAGCGAAACGGGGAGAGAAGATAGAAAGAGGGAGAGGAATGGAATTGAAGAAGGAAGCTATTCGCCGCGCAAGGTTCATCGGCGCTTCAAGGGCCAGGGCAGGTGCTTACTCAGCGTCACATGATCTTTTTGAGCGACGAGATATCATTACTATCTCAACAAGAGGTCTCATCTATGACTGTATTTTCATATTTATGACCTACGTATCTAACTAAGCGTGCTTTAGAGCTTTTCAGCTACATAATCAACACCATCACCTTAGTTGTCTGCGAAGAATTGCGAGAGCTTGTTATCAAGCCATTCAACATCCTCCATACTATCACCCGGACCTCCTGCCCAATCTATTTACCGGGTTAGCATTCTGTGTACTTGAAATTTGAATTGATATACTCACGACCCCAGATCGAAGGGAATATATCTAGTGTTCCAATGCCTGGCTTCATACAAGCAACCTCATACTCCGAGTCTTCAGGCCTAATATAATGAAATTCTTAGTTCAATCCCACTTCTCCCAAAAGGTAGGATAGATTTTGACTTACGGGAAGTAAAGGTCAGTTTTCGAGGGCAAAACCAGCGCTTTTGCTTTGATAGATGCCATCGCCTTTGCAAAGTCCCCATTATATGGATCTTGCTGCGAAACATCACCATTTTGCCAGGTCTGTAGCATGACTAGCATATTTTCGGGTTCTTTAAAGTATCTGTTAGTACTCTGATATACCTCGTTTGTTGGGATCAAGAAGCACCTTTAGAACAAGCCCATTTCTCCCAGAAGTTGACCATGAAGTCTTCAAGTCCCTTAAAACCCAGCACAGTTTCATACAACTTGTGTCGATAGAAAGTCTGGCTAAATCCCCTGTTTCCAATGCGTTAGACAGGGAGTAAATCTAAACGTCAACACAAAATTTCTTACCATCCAGCATATACCCGACCCAGTGCCTTGAGACCAACATCCTTCTCCTCGGCTGTCCAGGCATGTGCTTCCGCAGTTTCTCTATCAAGGCTAATTTTTCCAAGTCCTGCAGAGCAGCTCTTTTTAACTGCAATCAAAGAGCTTTTGACACCCTCAAGGAATACTTGGTTATGCAGTGAGGTTTTAGCAGACGTGCAAAATGGGACCACAAGATCCATGAACTCAGGATACTGTGTTGCCCACTGGAAAGCCTGGGCACCTCCCATAGACCAGCCAATAACGGCGCGCAAATGCGTGATACCCATGTGTTTGGTAACAAGCTCATGCTGCGCTCGCACATTGTCGTAAAATGACACTTTCGGAAATGGCCCGGGGCTCAGCTGGTTGGAGGGAGAGGAGGACTGGCCATTTCCAAACAGGGCTGGAACTATGATAAAGAAATTGTTCGGGTTCAGGAGCTTGTCATCTCCGATCAACCAGAAGTTGTCTGAGAGGGCTGCAGCCAGTATTAGATCAGTATCGGGGAGAGTGTAGGAAGATGTCTAGATATACATACCTCCGGAAAACCAGGTTGGATAGACGATTGCTGGAGACTTGGGATCGCCGAATGTCTTGTATGCGATATGGGCATCCTCAATTCTTTCCCCGCTCTGTAGCTCCCAGTCTCCAAGCTTGAATGTTTCGTATTGCTCCTGTGACATATTCGCGTTTTTCTTGATTGAAAATGGAGAAAATGAAATGAAATGGTTTGTATCTCGTGGTAAACGGGCAGGGCGTACGATTTATAGTTCAACAGTTGGAGATACCTCCCAACCCCGCTCTACTCTCCGCATGAGACACGGCTTGAGTCGGAGCTGCTTACCCTACGTGAGACATCTCACTAAGAGCCTTTTGAAGCTTCGGCAAGATATCTAGTAAGCATGCCGGCTAGACTTGAGCTGAATTTAGTCAGGAACGTTCCGAGCTTGGTAAAATCCCATCTATGCCGAAGGGATACCGAAGGGATGCCGGGCTTACAAACTTTCGGGGTGTCGGGGACCTCAAGAGCATAGGAAATCGCAAATAAGGGTTAGGTGTACTGATTTAGCTGACATTTACTCATGTAACTATCGAGATATATCGTCCATGTACTCACTATTGGTTGCAGACTGTGCCTCAATTGGAGACTTACACAGGTTGATTTGTTTCCGAGTGTATGATTTTATCATCTATATATATATTCCCCTTCGGGCACCCAAACCCCTTTTGGAAAGCAGAGCCCTAGAACTGCGGCCTAGGGATCTCCATGGCCTCCGTGGTTCGACCGTAGGAGATGCCACCAAGGCGACTGATAGGCTTAAGAACCTTCAAATCGACGACATTTCTTTCCTCGTTGATAGCGTCATCCCTAACCCAGAAACGGACACCTTCAATAATGGCAAGCACGCCCGATTTCTTCCCGGGGGTGACGCGACTCTCAAACTCCTTCAACTCAACAAGTTTCCCTTCAATAGAAAGAATGGACTCCTTGACACGGGCGGGCTTCACAACAGAGGTAGGCGCCTGGTGCAGCCCTGAAATTTCCCACTCGGAGATACCATAAGGAGCATTGATAGAAGTAGAGTTGGCCGCTTCAACAAAGTGCTCCGAGATAATGTTGATAACACACTCCCCAGTTTCGTTTAAGTTCTTCAATGAATCCTTAGCTCTCTCCATCGACCCAGAAAAGCCAACCGTGAAGAGTGGCGGGTCGTGGTTGATGACCTGTGCGTAGCTGAACGGAGCAAGGTTTGTAGTCTTGCCATCTGCGGACTGAGTACTGACGAGTGCGATCGGTCGTGGAACCATTCCTGAAATCAAGAACTTATAGTTCGAGGCCACGGGGCGGCCCTCCTCGTTGGGGTCAATCTCAACGTGGTCTTTCTTCAGGCTCTCACCGCCGTCATTCGCGCCATCGCCTTCTTTCCATGTGGGGTTTGGGGACTTGGTGTATGTGATCTCGACATCGCGGCGAAAATCTGGCCGCGAGGCTTGGGTTTTCTCGAACTCCGGATGGACCTTAAGCATTGTGCAGGTTTGGCTAAAGAATCGAGTTGGGCTGGGTTGTAAAGGTGCGCGGGTTATTATGAGACGATCAGAACTTGGGATTATAAATCAGCTTTGCTGTTCAATGTGGGCTGCCCCGCGTAGCAGGTGTGGTGACGAGAAGGTCACCTCCATCACGTTCACTAGAAAGGGAGGTCAGTGAGATACTGACTAATATTGCAATGAGAGTCTCCGAGTATTTCGGTAGGCCGTTTTAAGTAGACACATGGGGGCAATGGAATGCTTTTGATTTCATGAAATTCTTATCGCGTTTGCTATCTCTAGTTTAAGCTTCCAAGGTTTTAGTTGGGGATTAGTGCCACGGAGAGATTTGCTGCACATTTGTATTGCCACGCGTTCTATCCCGCGTTATCTCATATAAAGTGCGTAGATATACGTCCTCTACCGAATCCCGGGCCGACACTGGGGAGAAATCAAAGCGAGGTCTCGGGACACGTCATAATGGTTCTCCATCCATCGGTGGAGCTGTATATAATAAGACCTTCGGTGCTCTCCGATACTCATGGAATTGTCTATTGTAGGTTTTTTGTAGGTTTTATAACTTGAAAACTAATAGGTGCATATCAAACCCCAAAGTTATCTCTGGACAAGAACACACATGGGAAATATATAAAGGCGAAAGAACTGGGTACTCTGTAATGCATATTTTCGTATTCGACAATTTTCTAAGAATCCCAGAAACTCCGAAAATGACAGAGTCTAAGAAAGATATTAAAAAGTGGAAAAATATAGGCCGGTTAAAAGCACCTGTTCACCTGACCTGGAAACCGCCGATGTGGACCCTTTCTGTAAATACTTGTATTTTCCATTCTTTTCAGTGATTATTTCCCAAACAGGGAACCCCCTAAGCCAGGGCTCCAGATAAGCTTAAATATAGATATGGAGTACATGAAGGATCAATATCAAGCATTTTAAATATCTAGTTCATATTGCAGTTTGTGAATATGATACAAATTCCCATATCTGAAAACGTGGGGGAGAGTGAAATACATAAACCCACTCTCCCCCATAGATGCTCCATATGTCCCAAAGTCTGGACTCTACATACTCGGAGTTGATGCGAATTTCAATATCCTATCCTAATTCTATTAGAAATTATTTCTTCTTTTTTTTTGGTTTGTATATCTGTATTTGCTATGTAATATGTACATGTACATTATATATATAAGTACTTTTTTTTATACTATTTCTATAAACAATTACTATATGATATATACACAATCTTGGCAGGATCGCCCCAGACATCCCATGACCGATTGTGTCTCCTAAACGGGAATGGTGTGGCTCTGTTTTCGGCGTAGCGGTCAAGGGGGGGAAACTGAGATGTTTTCGATCAGAACATTACCTTACACAAATACATCGTGAGATTTCCAAAGATTCTGGAAATGTAAAATGTGCCCTTGGAGTGGCGTAGTACAAGCGAGGGCAATCACGAGGGCTTATCGACTCCCCTCTTCCATAACTTTTTCTCCCTTGAACCACTTCACACTTTTGTGATCCCCTGGCCCCCCGTTCATTTCTCGCATCCCTCATGAAGTTTTCGCCATATCACACTTTCCATTCATTTCGACCCTGAACCTTAAAATCTAAAGCTCCGCGCCGAGAACCCGCCGACTGAAGCTAGGAGTGTGCAGGTACCCAATGGGTCGAGGTCACGGATAATAATTGGCTCGCCATGAGCCCCCCTTCTCCCAAGAAGAAGAATGGCGGCAATCCTTCTGCTCCCAGACAAATCCGCTTCGTCGCAACCGATGGGCAGCCGCAAACCAAGCGCCGTCGCGTTAATGCCGCGTATGTGGACAAATATTGGGGATAATTTTGTCGGCCAAGATGCTGACGTCACTTTCGTTTTGTATAGTTGTTTAACATGTCGCCGGCGCAAGATTCGGTGTTCTGGTGAACAACCAGGTAGGATGCACAGAGTGTCTCGATTGCGGATATGCTGCTAACAGGGTATATGTGGGAAGTGTGTAAGACTTGCTCCGACTACAAGCATGTCTGCCTTGGATATACGGAATCGACCGCACACCTGCGAACGCAGTCCGACTCCGCATCTCGAGCGCCGCCGCGCTTTTCCGCTCCGAATGAATTGACAAGCCATGGCACTTCCCGAGCAGTCGAAAGCAGCTCCCCCGAACCAGTGCCAATAACGATGCCCAAGCCACCCGTGGATAAGTCCACCAAGACAAAACCGCCCGTATCAAAGGATACATCCTCTTTTGGAGATAATTCTTCACTTGTGAAGGAATTAGATACACAAACCGTTGGGGACAGTCCAGCGAGTGGTCGTACCTCTGTGAGCTCAGCGAGTCGCACGCATGTCCCGTATTTTCGTTACTTTGGCCCCACCGCGATTGTACCGGGGTTTAAGCAAATGGTTGTGCAAGTTCGAGGTTCTCGCAGGAGTAACCCATCCATGTCCTCAGACTCCCCCTCTCCTCTTCGGAGCCCTAAACCGTCCGATATCCCTACAAGACCCCTGACCACTGCCGCGGATAATCGAGACAGTCGCGATGCAAATATCCCATTTTATGATCGAGATGATACGCTTCCAGTCTCGAATCTTGTATCCCATTTGTGCGAACTCTTCTTTGCTCACTTGGGCTGCAGTTTTCCCTTCCTACAACGAGAAAGATTTCTTCAGGACCTTCAAGAGAAAAAGGTTGACACCATGTTGGTAGATGCAGTGTGTTCGTTAGCTGCGAGATTCTCAATACACCCTTCACTTAGTCCTCCGCAGGCTCCTCCTATCGATCGCTCGCAACCCATACTCGACGACAAAAAGTGGGATCGTGGTCTGCCCTTTGGTCATCGTGCGATGAGCGCTCTTGTGGATTCATTGCCATGCCCAACTCTCTCTGCCGTCCAAGCCTGTTTGTTGCTGGCTTATGAACAGTTCGGATCAAATCATGACAGTGGACTCTGGATGTACCTTGGAATATCAATTCGCATGGCGCAGGACCTTGGGTTGCAGAAGTTCCAAGGTCTCAAACATAATTACGGCCGGACCGGCGTCACACCGAGTGAAGTGATGACAGGTCACGCCGGGAAATTAAGGGAGGAACAATATGATGATCTTGATGTGCATCTGACACCAATGGCTAACCCGCAGCCTTTGGTTGAGGAACGTGCCCGGGAGCGCGAACGGGTAGACTCATTCTGGAGTATCTTTTTCCTAGATCGAGTCATCTCTTCGGGCACTGGGAGACCAGTGACACTGCGCGATGAGGATATTGAACTCTGTTTCCCTCTTCAGTCTGAATCCCAGCTACCAAATGGGTGGCCCGCGCCGTTCCCACCACTTATTCGGATCATTCATCTGTACGGCCGAGTGACCGACCTTATCAATGGCATCCAGGATGTCAAGCTCGTCACGCCGGATACGTTAAAGATGTTGGCTGGGATGGAAAGCGATCTAACCGGCATCTATCAACGCTTGTCCCCAAGACTTCATTTCAACGCAGCCAATTTTCAAGCTTATGTCAAAGCCAAGGAGGGAACCAATTTCATTCTTCTCCATTTTTGGTTTCATACTCTCATTGTTCTCCTTCACCAACCAACATTGTTGAACTCGTTTGGTGGATCAATACAACATCTCTATCCGAATAGTCGTGAGTTGTCGATGTCATCTGCCAAAACTATTGCCGATATCCTATCCTTCTCGGAGCTTGTGGATGGAAAGAGCTTCATTGGCAACCCCTTCACTAGTCAGCCGATGTACATTGCGGCGTGCGCGTTCCTCATGGAAAGTGCGTACTATGCATCCCCATCCTCGGGGGCTGGGTCAACCCCACCCCGGCCATTGTTGGCGAATCAATCTAGTGGGTTTGTTATGCCCACTATGGAATCCTCAAACGGGACAGAGCGGAAGTCTACGGCAAAGCATATTCTGCTTGCTTCTGCCGCTAGAGAGAATTACCAGCGATGCTATAAGGCTTTGAAAGCACTCAACGCGTACTGGGAAGGCACTGGGTATATTTTGACAGTGCTTGATCAGAAGGCCAAGGGTATTGTGGATCCCCTCCTTTACGCTGTGGAGGATATAGAAAACTTTGCAGGTACCGCCCCAGGTCCACCTCTTGGACCAGGAGCTTGGCGTGCGGGCAAGGCACCGGTGGACTCTAGTTGTGATCTAGAAAGACCAGCCGGGGTCGCAGATATCTCATCTGATGGAAAATGGTCTCCACACATTGACCCAAGTCAAGGTTTGTTGGATCCATCATCCATGACAAACATACCACTAATATCTTCTGCCTCGACAGCTATCGGATGGGCACTCACTGGGGCAACAAATTCTTCACAGCCCAACCTGAGTCTACTCTATCAGATGTCTACGACCGAGGCCGAGTCTCCGTCCAATCGACCAACATACTCGTCGCAGTACAGCCACAGCTACCCAGTCCTACCAACAAATGCGGACCAAGGGCCAAGCTCTTCATATTCACAATCTATTGCACCAGCCAGGGCCCACGAAGAAATGACGCCCTCGCTCACGACAGCAAATGCTAAATACTCTAATGTTCAATCAAGAACAATTAGCAGCGACCCCTCTTATTACATGGGCATGAATCCAACGTATCCCGAATCAAACACGCGAACAACACGCCCCGTACAGACATCACAATCAACTTTCCCCGGGATGCTATCATCTGGGCTACCAACTTCACATATGGGTACACAGCCCTCCGCCTATAGTTACTCGATACCCCAAACGACAACAGGACACCAGACTAGAAACCAAATGGGGTCTCGCGACCCAGGTGCCGATCTCCAGCCGACCATTGATGATGCCAACGGGATGATGATCGGGAGTCACGAGGTCGATATGAACTCCATCCACCAGCAGGACTCTTTCCCGTTCGCTAACGGCGAAATCCTTCCGTGGCTAGAATACCTCCCTCAAGATGTTCTGAGTTTCTTCGGCGACCATCAAAATTATCCGCTTATGAGCCCTGACGATGTGTCACGGCCCCCATAATGTTTGATATACCATTCTTCTATCGTACATATTTATATATATTTTTTGGCGGTTTGCATTTGCCTGTGTTCCAGCGACTGGCTTCTGCTTTTGTTTATATATTACGGACCGAGATATGCTTTTTTGGCGTCCGGTTGGATGATATCCTTGGCTTACACTAGATTTTTGGTTATGTTCAAACTAGCGGCATGACTTGGGGTTTTCAAACATATCTAGATGACTGGTTATCAACTTGAATATACTGAAAATAAGTATTGATTCTGAGATCCCAGCTAAGTCAATATCTCAATACGATGTACTCGAGTACTGTGGCTTGATGATCGACAATGTCAGTTCGGTTGCCCGGCACAACGGGGGCGGTGAGAGACTTGTCAACACACTGTTGAGTTGTCTTGGATTCCACGTTGACACAAAGGGAGGAGGCGGAAATCTGGTTTCATAACGTTTCTATATCTTTGTTTTTGCACAGAAAACCCAGAACGCAGACTACCATCATATGATAATCCCATGGCGCGGTTAAATGACGACAGTCAACAAGACGTCGATTGCACAGAGATCCTAAGCCCGAAACCATTTACCCCTCCAGGAAAAGACTTCCTTGTATCCTCCCTCGAGTCCAGCAACGAGACATATACCGCCGATAATACACAGATGTCCTCCGCCCAAGAATATGAATACAACTCTTCCTCCTCCTCCACTCGCCATTCAACAAGTGACGTCTTCGGCCGTGAAATGGACGATGAACTAGACCAATTGAAATCCAGAGCATCGAGTCGCTCATCACTATCCTCAACCCCAGCCTCCGTCCTCATTCACCCAGTCGACAGAATGAAACAAATGCCAGACATGGACATACACGAAAAGATAGGCGGTTACAGAGTAGAAGAGTCCGAAGCTAGCTTCGGCGACTTCAACGATATCCCCGCTAATGTCCGCACCATCCGCCAGCGCGAAGCCGCATTCCGGAAACCGAGTTCGGTCAGGGCAATGCAGATGCACACAGAAGACGAAGCTGACGATGACGACTATCTAACGCCCCCGCGCCGACGGCCAGGCCTCCGGTCACGGTCACCTGGCCCTTCGCCATTGAGGCGCTCACCGTATTATTCGCCAAATGCACCAAAGCAACCGAAGCCCAGGAAGGAGGCTCCGCTCGTGCTACTGCATTGCACCCTCCTCCCGCCGTCCATCCCAGTACCTGGGGCATCGGACCCTAGAAACCAGCATATCCTGGAAGACGAGCTACCGGCAGAATACTGGAAGCGCTGGCGGCGGCTCCAAGACCGTGTTGGATCTGGCGTGCTGCGCGATCGTGGCGTGCTAATCTCGCACCCAGAGGATCTGTATGACATTCTAGAGGAGCGGCTGCTGGAGAGTCTCGAGCTGCAGCGACCACGCCTGCAAAATGGGCACTTCGTGGGTCTAGAGGACCATAGCTCTACCTCTGAATCAGAGGGGGACTTTTCGGACATCGAAGAGAGCGAGACAGACGGTGAGCAGGGCGACGAGTGTCCCGACTGCGGGACCCATGTACGGCACGGAGATAGTAACCGCAAATGGGAGATTCGGGTGTTTGCTGCGAACGGATTGATGCGCGCTGGGGCGTGGGCTGCTGCGTGGCGCGATATGGAAAAGGTTGATGTGGAGGTTGGGCTTTGGTTGCCTTCTGATGTGCGCCGTGGACTGGAGAGGAGGCTTGCGGAGGAGCAGATGGCCGTTGTGGAGCAGGCCCAGAGCCAGATGCCGCCAATGCAGATGCAGATGCAGATGTCGCCGCTGGTTCATGGTGGGCATCAGGTATCACCCGAGATTCTGCAGTCGCCTAGACAGAGCCATGCACGTATGATCAGTGATGTGGGATCTTTCCAGTCTGATGATATGACGTTCAGACAGGTCTCCCCTGAAGCTGAAGCTCGGCTCGACCATGCGTCTGAGCTTGGACGGGAGAAGAAGGAACACGAAGTTGCTCTATCGACTCTCTTGGTCAATTATATCCGCATTCTGGCGGCTGACAGGCGAAATATTGCCCTTCTTATTCTCAGCGCTCTTGTAGCTTTTCTTGCTATCGGTTCTCGTTGGCAGCAAGTCCCCGTCTACTCCAATCTTGATTCTTTTTCGCATACCTTGTCGAATGATGTTCTGCCGTCTTCGACTATGCCGAGCTTGAGCGTCGCCCCCTCTCCGTCTCCTATCGATATAGGGGGCTCAGCCAGTGAGAACGATGCACTGGTCCTGAGCTCAGTTGACTCGGTCCCGGCTGAGTTCGTGGCTGCTAGTGAGAGAGAGGTGATTTTAACCTCTGAGATAGTGGAGCCTGCTTCTCTGACAATTGACTCTCCTAATTCTTCTCAGCCGACAGAGACTACAGCCTCGCCCCAGCTGGCGGAGACATCTCAGGCTCAGACTAAGGAAGTAGAATCCTTTTCTTTGTCTGCTCTCCCCGTTGAATCTCCCATTGTGTCTTTGGAGCCCACGGAGTCTATACGGACTATAGAACCTCAAATAGAGGGCGACATACACGATTCTTTGGATGACACTGTGGACTCTCTCGCTGCACCTTCAGGGCCCTCTCCTTCTTTAACCGACTACGATATATCTCCCACCCCATCAGAAATGTCTGCCGACAATGAGCAGCCCCAGCTTGAGCGTGAAGCAAAACAACCTTTGGATGACACCGTGGACTCTCCTATTATGTCTTCAGAGCCATTTTCTTCCCCCACAGACTCCATCGACCCTCCCGTTCTGTTAAATATAGCGACGGGGACTGCAGAGCCTGATAGCCAAGGCGAAAACGAAGAGCAGTATGAAGCACACGAGAAAACAGATTGATTCCGGGAAAGTAAACATTACTTTCCCAGTCTCACGACCACGACTGGAACGATATCAGGCGAAATGTTTTAGGATTATGATCTTTACAATGTTTTTCCATATACGTTTTGCTAATTTAGCCATAGCCCTTATAGTTTTATCCTGTTTATATTAGCGAGCCTTTGCTCTTTCATGTGTATAGACACGGACGTTGAAACAATGCCAAGCCCCTAGAGTTTGATATCTCCACTTCGCCCCATCTGGGGGTTCTGGAGGTCCGGTTATGGATCTCCAATTAGACCTCGGGATATTAAACACATTCGATTACGCCTTTATAGATATTCATACTTACCTAGATAGTATATTATTTCAGTTTAGCATTATAGCACATCCATCAAAGCCCCGAGACAAATGCGGGGCAACCCACATTTTTTACCTACGTTGTACCCGCTGTAGATCAGGAACAGGAACTGAAGGCTCGATATTATTTATTATCGATTAAAGGTAAGGTTAGTTGAACGAGTTCGAATTTGTAATGGGCATGTTCAAGTGACATCTCACTGGCCCAGCGAATTTATCCCTCAACCCAGCATAAGTCACAACCTTCGGAAAAAAAGTGCTAATCACGTCCAGACCTTCATAAGCTTCGTGATAGGAACATCTAGTAACCACCCTGGCCGCCACCGTAGCCGCCCTGGCCACCGTAACCCTGACCACCGCCGTAGCCGCCCTGACCACCACCGTAGCCACCTTGGCCACCGTAGCCACCCTGGCTGCCGCCACGGTAACCACCGCCGCCGAAGCCGCCGCGACCACCACCGGGAGCACGCTCAGTAGCCTTGTCAACGCGGATCTGGCGACCATCGAACCTGAAAGAAAGGGTGATTGTGAGCACATATTCTGTTTATAGGGAGGAAAAGGACACATTCACGTTACGCTGGAACAGACACGGGCTGCTCATTCCAGCACAAGCTTGTCGCCTAAAGAGGAAATATAAAAAGGGTGAATTTGCTTACTCCTGGTTGTTCATGGCGTTCATAGCGGCAGTAGCCTCATCATCGGTGGAGAAACGGACGAAACCGAAACCACGGCTGCGGCCAGTATCACGGTCCTTAACGACAGTCTAGGGAAGAAAGGTATCAGAAAATGAAATGAGTCGAAGTAAAAAAAAAGTCACTTACAGCATCCTCAACAACGCCGAATTCCTCGAAACGCTGGCGCAGACTGTTGTCGTCTGTGTTCCAGGAAAGACCGCTAGAGAATGAGATTAGCAAGCGCATGGGTGATTCCAGTTAGGGTCAATCTTACCCAATGAAAAGCTTCGACATTTTGATGGAAATGGGTGGAGAGAGATCAAGGGAGGGGGGGGAGGGAAAGGGTGTTAAGTGTGAAGAGGGGCACAGCCGAGCCTGATCTTAAATACAACCCGGGACGGAACAACATCACCCCACAGATTCCTGGTTTTTCAGGCTCTTGGAATTATTACTATTTTTTTTTTTTTTGAAAATTCGAAATAGTTATTTGATGTGATGTGTTTTATGTTGGAGATATTAGAGATATTAGATAGTGTGTAGATATGTGATATACTTGTTTGGGTAATATGTTTATAGATGTTAGTGGACCCATATCCCCACGCTGTCGATGACCTAAATTCATTTTAACTATAGTTTACTATAGTTAACTATGTAAAGCACATAGTTAACTATGTAATTAAGTAGTTTAGTACATAAAATATAAAAATAAGCTTAAATAACGTATGATAAAACTAAATTTAGAAACTTGGAAAAAAAAAAAACTTACTCTCATGAGGTCACTACATCACCCCACCCTTGGAATCAGTCTATATAAATCCCTTTTTCCACACTCCTACACTCCTACACTTCCACACTCCTACACATCTACATATCTACAATTCCAAATATGCCTATCAATGAAATCACTAGGTAAAAATACCCCCTCTCTCCCTTGCATGCAAAACTAACACATACCATAGCAAAGCCGACTTCCTAGAGAAGATCCTCGGTTCCAAAGATGCCGTTATCCTTGACTGTTACGCCGAATGGTGCCCATCTTGCAAAACAATTGCACCTAAATTTGAAGATTTGAGCAACACATATACCCAGGTCAAATTCTACAAGGTGGATATTGATAAGGTTGAGGAGGTCGCACTGGAATTAGGTGTGCGAACTATGCCTACATTCATGCTGTTCAAGGACGGAGAAAAAATTACCGAAGTTGTTGGGGCTCATTTGTCTGTCATTGAGCAGGGGATCAAAACCCATCTTCTTTAAATGAGGGTCCATGGTCCCTCCCCATGGTCTTTTCTTTTCTTTTCTATTTTTCTTATCCATTGAGTTCTTGCGCGGAATACCTGCCTCCAGCCATTTGATGCGGTCACTTTCTAATTAGAGCATGTTATCGATCAGACAGCTTTGCATCTGATTTTGTTTTTAATGGAGACAGCATTTATATCAAATCTGCCTTAAAGGAACCTTACTCTCAATTATAATTTTATTTTCGTTAGTGCGGCCATGCAAATATTGCTGAAATATTGGGCATTCTCCTGTGTACACCCACGCAATACATTGTGCAACATAGAAGAAAGTATCACATCACCCCAAAAAGACAATAATAGAACTGTAACCTATATACTCCTTCAAGATTGTTCCCAATTATACCCTCCTTTCATATCATATACATTCCACTAAACCCCAGAATCAATCAGATAAGCCGGTGGGATAGTAGGCCAAACATCCACCCCATCCAACATCGCTAACACCATCCCCCCACTTTGATGAACCTGAATATGACAATGCATCAGAAATGCACCAGGATTAACAACATGATATCTAATAACTGTCCAAGATGGACTCGTGATAGTTGGCAGTGTAGGGAAGGTATCACGATACTGCGGCGTCTGGAGATTAAAGTTGCCAGGAATATCCTGTACAGCATCTGCCACTGAATCCCAACTGAAAGTACCATTCCCTTGACCAATAATGAAATGTTTATTCGAGTGTTTGTGGATCGGATGCCGGGGTTGCAGAAGGGTATCTGATTGGAGAACCAAGTCGATCCAGGTATTATTTTTCGTCCTGATGATCAAGTCTTGAGGAATGGAGTTCTGGTTGAAGAGCAAGGGCTGTGCTTCCTCTAGCTCGAGACCGTAGCTGGTATTACCGAGTCTCCAGCGGAAGGCGGTGCCGACTTGGTCGATATTCAGAAAGAAGGTTTGTGCTATATTATTTGAAGGAACGAGCGCCGGGAATGGGACGACCTGATTCTCATCTAGGAATACAGTGTCTGGCGAGGCCGGTTGGTTGTTGATTGCTATCCACGGGTTGGATGGGCGTGTTAGCCTGGGCGCGCCGTAATATCGCATTATTGCGGTCGTGTTGAGGATCTGGTTTATGCTGGCGCTGACCATACGCACGGCGTAGTCTCCCGCCGGCTGAGTGAGGGGGATTAGAACCGAGTAGCGGTTTGAGTTCGGGATGGTGACTGCGTTAACCTTTCGGGGCTGAATGTATCGTCCGTCTATGGCGTATACCCACATATCGTGCTCGTCAATTGAGAAGGTGAGTTCTAGAAGGCCCGCTGTACTGGTGAGATCCCAACTGGCGTATTTAAGGGCTGCGTTGACATTGAAGATTTCTTGAGGGCCTTGGGATGGTACGCAGCCTTCGAACATGGTTTGGGGGATGGCAGCGTAGTTGTGAGGGAAATTGAATACTGTTTCGGTGATATTGGGAGGGAAGCATCTAGTGATGAAGTTAGTCTATTGACCGGGTTTATCGGGATAGTATAGGACCATGACGGATAAATCTACTCACGCCATATCTGTTAATCTTAGATCATCACCCAGGCTGGTTTTCTGATCGGGTGTTGTCAGAGCGTCAATTTCCGCACGTGGCAGGCAGGTGATAGATCCTTTTCCATTAATGAGCAAAGCATTGGCACAAAATCCATCTGTACCAGAGGCTATCTCGGCAGCCCAGACCTCTTCCGACGTGAGGACACGCCACTCCGAAAGCAAGACGGGACAGGTTACGCTCTCTGCGAGGACCATAGCCCTCAGATGAGCGGGATCGGTTGTGATAAGACCAAACGGCTTTTCCACCGAGGGGGCCGGGGTAATATAGACTGGTCCATAGAGTCCATCTTCGAGAGAGCCACGGTGATGCGCATGATACCAGTAGGCCCCGTAATCGGTTGCAGTCCATCTATACAGGAAAGAAGTGTTTGGCTTGATGGATCTCTGCGAGACACCTGGGACTCCATCAGACCAAGGAGTTCCTAGCTGTTCAATGCCTAGATGTGAAGTTAGTATGTGTATGCTAAATAAGCTGAAGCTATCCAAGGGCCTACCATGGAAGTGTATAGTTGCATTGAACGGGCACCGGTTATTAACGAGGAACTGCACATTGTCACCCTGGTTGATCCGCAAAGGGGGACCAGGGAACTGGCCGTTCATCGAAATCACTGGCCTAGTCACTCCCGCGACGGTTCTTTCCGACCACGTCAAGGTAATTGGAAAGAACACTGTAGCTGCAGCTGCCCATTGGACGAGGCATAGAAGCCAGAGGGACATCCTTCTTTGAGGGAACTTCATACCTAACGATGACAGTAGATTGTCAATCTGTACTGAATTGAATTGCCTACCTTTGGTACATACTTTTCACGGGAGTTCTACCCTTTATATGGTCATACGGGGACTTGTAGGGTGAGGATATCCGTCTCAATCTCACCTAGGCAGCTTTCATGCAGGTGTATCGTATTAGATGCAAGATTTCCATGGGAGCCTTTTGCACTTGAGCTCGTAAAGGCGCAAAAGCAAAGGGATAGTCTGTCCATACTTTTATCGGGAACCAATCTAGTCTGTCGGGGAATAGGCAGAAGGGTAATTCTGATTAGCTCGGGATTCTGTTATTTGAAGCAAGGGACTTCATTGGGAACAGCAGGGCGAGTACGAGCGAATGATGGACACACAGTTCAAGATACTCATTCCCATCTCGGAGATGGTAGCCCCGAAAAGTAGCTTGGCGGTGGTGTAGGGATAAACCTCGGAGGAAGCTGTTGGCACCTGCTTATGTGTAGGCTTACATACTCTAAGCCAGCCCCAAGACAAGGAACCCTCTTAGACTCGGCACGTTACCGAGATGGTGTATCCGGGACGAATGGTGCATGCTGGGGCGCAAAGCTTCCATGGCCATGGGAGTGACCGACTTAGATCAGAGGTCGGTACTCTGCATGTCATAGAAGGAGCGATCAATGCTACTGGTCCGATCAGAGAACTGCCGGTCTCAGTCGTCATCGGACTGTGAGTCAAGCAGCCACAAGTCAGGTTTCATGGAAGAAGGGTCGGCGGAAACTTCAATCTCAGACTTAGCATGGACGCCACGTGCTGATAAATGAATCGAGATACGCAATTTCCAGGATGAATCGAAAGAATCGGATGAGGGAGATATACGAGGCAGCTAGGGGGGCGTTGGATTCCAAATCAAACTACTCAAAAATGAGGTGTGGAAGCCGCCTGAATGATTAAGATCTAAAACAAAAAAGGATACGTGAAAAACGCCAATTTATTTGTAGTGTTGTCGAAAATATGATTAGCTCCTAAATATACGCTATGAAACAAGGACTATTCCAACAATTTCGTAAAATTTCTTTTCCTTGCCATGTATAACGCTGCCTGAGGCAAGTGAATAGCCATCACAAGCATTAGAAATCGCCATTACCAAAGTACCCTGGCATATCATCATGGGTAGCATCCGATGCAGAAGGGTGGCCTGTTTTGGAATTGAAAATAGCAACCGGATCTGACGCAGGCACTTCACCCATAAGAGAAGGCGACATGGGCTGACCAAGTAAGCCTCTGTTTGGCCATCCTTGCTCTTTGGGGCTTTTTTGGCCATCGGCACCATCTAGACGCAAGCCTCCCAAATCATCAGGGTTTATTTCGCTGTAGCTGTCATTCAATCGCTGTAGGAATTCTGGGTCAAATCCCATTTGTACCAGCGGGTCAGCTGGGCCTTCTCCCCGCACAGACGCAGTAGTCGGCAGGCTGCTAGTCCAATCCGTAGAGTAGGATGGATCTGCGCCAGCTGACATCATTCCTGCACTACCAGCGTAACTGCCTGATAAACTCCCCGGCCTGCTGGGCCCAGCAGAAGAAAAGCCAGTGCTGGGAAAACCGTGGCTGCGAAGACTAGGGCTAGAGACTGCAGGGCTGTGTATTGGGGCGCCTTGACATACTGTTCGCGCTAGCACATTGATCTCCCGGGGTGCAGCTCGCAGGCCGCCATTGATAGCGAATGGGGGTTGCATGCCCAGGTCAGCAAATTGGATGTTGTCATTGTGCACGGGGGTTTGTAGTCCACAGTCACGCTTGAGGACACCCAGCCAAACAATATTATCTGCGCAGGTCTGGTTCCAAGGATCGTCACACCCATAGATAACACGGCGAGCTTCTGCTTGTATCATCTGATCTGATGGAACAAGGCCTTGTGCCTTTTGGTTATTGATGTATTTAGTGAGTTCGACAGAAAGCCGATGGTAACAATTGACATCAGTAGGAACGGGAAGACAAAGTTTGGTGCCATCTCCCTTGGAATGTTCAGTGGCCCATGGATCAGGGGACCGCCATTCATAGTCAATCATGTATGGGGGAATGGCGTTCTCGACGCGAGATTGAATCTGCGGGTCAAAGCCCCAGTCCCCTTGCCATTGGGCCATGGCGGCTCCATTTTTGAAATGACTGGCTAGATGATCCACTCGATCTTTCCATGTCTGGAAGGTGGAGCCACAGAACCCACAGCGGGATTTGATATCTGTATTGCTGCTTTGCCATTTCTCCATGCAGGGTTGGAACTTGGCATTGTGCATCAAGCGGAGGTGTTGGTTGAGATGATCCTTCCGGTAAAATGTTCTCTCTTGCACTGTCTTCTCTTGGCAACTGATGAAGTTATGAGTTTCTAGGTGTTCATCGTCTGGGTTAGCTGCCAAGCAGAAGACACAAAGAGGTATACCGTTTTGTTCAATTGCACCGCCGTGGGGGGAGCATGTCCATTTGTCCAAGACTAGATGTATGGACTTCTCGTGCCGCTGCCAGTCATACTTGGTAGGGAAGGAGTCGGTACAGAAAGTACATTGGAAAGGACGAGCAGATTTGGCCTTTGAGTGGGCCAGGGTATTGACAGGTACTGAGACCTTGCGGCGGCGGCGACGTTCTTTGCGATCCATTGAGCCGAAGGAAAGAGAGGATCGATGAGAGAAGGCAGAAGCAAAAGAGAGATCAGAAACAGATGAATCCAAACTACTGGCAGATGCGGTGCACAGTTTATGTTCAGAGCTGGCATGGCTTGACTCATTGTTACTAGACCCAGGGCGACGGGGCCTCACGTGACTTGATGGGGCTCGGGGAAGACGCGAGGGATCAAAAGGAGGATTGGCGAGGGCACGGGTAATATCGCTGATTGTAGCCGGTTCGTTTTCGGGGGGAGAGTACTTCCAACGCTCAAGAGGCGTCATGAGAGATACGTTGACGGATTGCTTCATGGGGATGTCCACCGCTCCTGGAACGGGAGAACTGCTTCCAGGCGACGAACGAACTTTGCCGCGTCGCCTGGCATTGGCGAACCAACTAGCAATTTGCGTCCGAGTTAGACCAGTGTCTTGCTTCAGTTCATCTTTCTCTTGTTCGGTAGGATATGGGTTCTCGTTGTGGTCTCTTAGCCAGCCCTTCAGAATGCTGATCGCCTTGCGCGAGAATCGAGCACCATTTTTTTGAGAACGTGAATCTGGGTCATTGGGATATGCGTTGTACGAAACTGATTTGAGGGCTTTTTTCCCTGTCAGACTACCTATAGGAACGTGGGCATTCTCCGACACGCTATGTAGTGTCTGGAGGAACTTGCCCGGTGTTTTGGCATGAGTGAAACTGCATTCACGATAAAGAGAGATACAGCAAGTACAGCCATAGTTCAATGTGCCGCGCTTTGCAACAAAACAGTCCAGTCCCATTCGCCGGCAAAAATCGCACGGGTCCTGGGCCCGGAACATGGGGTAAACTCCGTCGGGGTCGACGGGGTCAGTGACTTGTCCGACATTCACTTCAGACTGCTCCGGTACCGGGTCATTGGAGAACTCCAATGTCTGATCATGAATCAGCGAGTTGAAGTTTGCTGCCTGTTCTTCGGCATCATCGAGTTCAATATCAATCGAACCGATGTCATCGTCTTGTTGGTTTGAGCCATGGGCAGAGGAGGCGCCTTCGAAATCAAAATATTCCATATTATGAACGATTTCAATGGTAAAAGCCTGTCCATAGAACAGCAGGACCAAGAGAATAATACGAGAAAGGACACGGTGGAAATTAGGGAGAAGAGTCGGTCAGATGAGAATTGACCGAGACAAGCTTGGTCCGGGGTAGAAAGATGGGTGAATAATCGATTTGGGTGGATCTCCGTGACCTTGGAATTGGAGGTGGGCACCATTCAGCTGGGATTTTCGGTGACTCGGCATGGACCGCTCGAAGCGCAAACCCCGTGTGGCTTTTTTTCACGATAAGCATCATAGGAATTTTGGGAAGCACATGCTCTTTTACTCCGTATCCACTATATAACTTAAAGTGGCAGGAATTTCGTTCGAGGAAGTCCAGAAGTGTTTCAAGTGGATGGAAATTCAAATGGATCAGAAATGGACGCCCTTCGAATGACAAGGCTAAACCTATTTAGGTTAAGCTCATATCAAATGTGGGGGGTATTGCCAAGCCTTTATGATTCATCTTTCTCTCTTCGCGATATCGGACGTTGATTTTTTATTATTTATATATCTGTGTAAGAAATATAACTCAATACGAGATCACGAAGTCGATAGTATATGTCAGCCGGAATTACACTTTCCCCGTGCTTTTTAACGAGGGTTTGATTCCTTAGCCAAGTGATTGATACACCAGAGGGAAATCAGAGTTTCCATGTCGTAAGTTCGTCTACATCCTTGGGTTTTGAAGAGGGAATGGCAAGACCCCAGAGTTTCCAGATACGATGCATGGGAACCCGGTCCGCCTCTGTATGGGGATTTTGTTCGTGGCGAAGCGAGCAGATTCTCTTCGGCCAGCCCGCTTCCATCACTTTTCTGGAATCGACGAACCACCTATCCATATAGTTAGCGAGCAAGTCTGTGTCAGCATTGAAGGGACACACAGCTTCGAGGAGGTAGGATTCCACACAAGATGGTCGACCCAGGGTTCGTGGGGTAAACAATTCAGCTCCGCCAGCGTAGAGTAAGTCTTGTCGAACTCATCGCGAGTTTTGTTTCGTTCCGCACGCTCGAACTTTCCATGTAAACCTGAAAAAAATACCATCGTCGCCTTGGAGTTTCTCCTTGATCCCGGGGATGGGGGGTATCATCGTGGCATGTACCTCGTGGAAGCACTTTAGGGCGTTGACTTCATTATGTGAACAGAGAGCGGCTTGGCGACATCGAACTTCAAGAGGTTCGAATTCGGTAGATGGATGTGGAACCTACATATATACTCGCATGTATGCCGTTGGACCATAGTCCTGCTGAAGGCAGAGTGTTGCCTCGACTATTGATGGACCAGACTCGAGATCCCATTCCTCTCGCTGATAGTTGTGCTGGAACTGTTTTTCTTGGATTGACCATGTGCTGCATGTTGGCTTTTCAGAGAGGACTGTTGAGTCCGGATCGAGTTTGGCGCGGGGAAAGCAACCTATTGAAGCCATGGCTGATATGGAAGATGAAAACAAGCACGAGGCGGGAGAGTTGGAAGAGAGAAGATGATGAAGAGTGCCGGAGAGGAGCCTTCGGCACACCGGAACCTACTCTCGTGATCCTCCCCATTGGCCCAGAATTCCTACTGAAGTTCGATTTCTAAAGGTTGTTTGCTTTCCTATTGAGCCCTAATCCTGGGGTTTCATTGGCCCAGTCGCCTTCCAGGTACCCAAGTGATCATTAAGTAATGTGCCCTGCTGCAACTTTCCGAAGTATGAATTTGCGAAACTGCATTGCGATCACCCATCACTTGATGAGCCGACCAGAGGAGTTCCGAACATTGGTTTTGGATGACGGGAAACTAGCTACGGTGTGCTCTATTTCAATAGGCTATATTTAGAGTTGAATGTTGATTACTCGGCCAAATGCTTAATTCCAAGCAAAGGTTATACTTAGAAAAGCCCATTTCACAAAGTATCACAGAGTAGTTTGGGAATGCATAGAAGATTATTGAATACTAACATAATATCTCTCGTAGACAAATATTAAGACTTTTAGAAATATAGTTCCAACCTTGGAAGCCCTACTCGGTCAAGATCTAGTTCCTTCACTCTATCCTATTTACTCTTCTAGCCCCAAACTAAAACCCCAACACCCAGTATTATAAAAATCCTACATAATTTCGCATGATTGTCTAGGTATCAATGTAGAATCCTTTTAATATAAAATACGACCCACATTTGGTGGGGCCGTTTTTCCAAAGATAAGGCTTTTTGGAATTTTCAACCTCACCTGTACAACATATGCACTCCGTTCTAGCATTTCATATTACTCAAATTTCCTGAGTCTTAATACCTCAACTCTATATTTGGACCCTTGAAAATGCACATCGAAAAAGAGTGTAATTCACCTCGCGCAGATTTAGACCCTGACCAATACCCCGAAAGAGGTTTGAAGGCATGGTCTGTGGTTCTTGGGGCTTGGTGTGCTATGATTCCTTCTATGGGACTTTTGAACAGCCTGGGAGCTCTGCAACCTTGGACAAGTACCCACCAACTCAAGGATTATTCGGAGTCAAGTATCGGCTGGATCTATGGAACATATACATTTTTCCTTTTCTTAGGAGGTGCACAATTTGGTAAGAGCCTTCTCGCCATCTCAAACCCAGTCTGAACTAATTAACACTTCAGGTGCAATCCTTGATTCCCACGGACCTCTCTATGTGGTGCTCCCGGGCTCTATCGGGATAGTACTTTCATTAATATTTCTAAGCTTCAGTCAGGGTATGTTCCTAACCTCTACTTATTTCTTCCCCATTGCAATACCTTAATACACTCAACTCGAAAAAGAGATACGGTCTAATTGTCAACAAGAATATTATCAGATATTTTTGTCATTCAGCGTCCTTGGCGGGATATCAGCTAGCACATTATTCACGCCTCCCCTGGCGGCTGTTGGCCATTGGTTCAATGTTCGACGTGGTTGGGCAACCGGGGTGGCTTGTACAGCTGGGGGCGTTGGGGGTTGCATATTTCCCTTGATAATCCTTTTTGTAGCTCCTCGCATCGGTTTTGCGTGGGCAATTCGCATAATTGCTCTGGTATGTGCAGTGTTGTGTTCAATTGCATGTCTCACGGTCCGAACCAGACTTCCTCCCAAGAAAGCAGTCGCCTCCCTCGATTTCAAGGCTCTCAAAGATATCAAATACGCATCTGCGACGTTGAGTGTCTTCTTTGCTGAATTCGCGGCTTTCATTCCAATCACATACATCACGTCCTACACGCTTCATGCCGGCTTCGATGAACAGATGTCATATGCGATTCTTGTCTTTCTTAATCTTGGTGCTGTATTCGGACGCTTCCTACCAGGACTGGTGGCTGATCACTTGGGTCGGTTCAACGTCATGATTGTGAATTGCTTGATGTGTTCCCTATTCACCTTCATCCTTTGGCTTTTAGGGGATCTAGTTGAGCCTGACAGCTTGGGGATTGTCATTAGCTACGCTATACTGTTTGGTTTCTGGAGTGGGTCGGCCATCAGTATTGCACCAGTCTGCATTTCTCAGGTCTGTGAAATCCAAGATTATGGAAAAAGAGTTGGAACTACATGGACGCTGGTCAGCTTTGGTACCCTCATCGCTCTCCCTATTGCAGGCGCAATTCAACAGCACAACGATGGGGAGTACTATGGGCTGATTATTTTCGGGGGTGTTCTTTATATTTCATCCACAATTGCCTTCGTCATCTCTCGTGGAATTTGCAAAGGGTGGGCTTGGGGAATCAAATTTTAGAACGGTTCTACATATATACCTTACGTATAGAGGTCACTTTCAATTACCACTTTAGGACGGCGAAGACGAAACACCCAATTCCCTCTTAATCCTAAGCTTTTAACCTATGTAGTCAATATTAGGTAGGGTGATCAAATTTTCTTAATACGGAGAGGTAACTTGATACCTTTTAGTTGCTAACTTGTGACTACTGCTAGATGAAAGGATTGGCGGAGCGCTGTTAACTATCGACATTGAAACATGCTATTTAAGATTATGTCTAGGGGTTCCTATACGTTTCCAAACTTAATACCTCTATATTTAGCACTCTCTCGTCGTTGAAGTTAAGGGCTTCCTGAATTACATGGTCATTTCGATATGAATTCCAAATGATGGTTCTGCAATCTGCTGGCTGTGCAATTACGGGTTCGTCACATCTCCTACCGGCCTTAAACGCCTCCATGTGGCCCATCAAGACCGATTCAGTATTCATGACCTTCTGTGGGCTCTCCACCACGCATGTGTAGCAGGTCATGTAGATGATTAATTCGCCTCCGTAGGAGAAGGCGAACCTTTACTCCTGACGGCTGCACTACCCGACCGCGTTGATGTTGGCGAAGGAAGATGTGTAGTTGGTCTGACGTCCCATGCAGACGACAGACATGAACTTGCTGTTGCGCCCGGCGTACTTCGTGATGACGCTCCTAACGGTGGACATGTAGATGGCTCCACTTGCGAACTTGTTAGTCTCCACGATCGTCTTCGGGGGTTGGGTTAGATGCCGCAACATCTCGCCTGGATGTATTCGAAGCCCAGGGTCCAGGTCATCTTCAGGGGGTAGTTGTAGATCGGACAGCTGCCCAGTCGTGGACCAACATCCCGTTCGAGTCCTTGAAGCCATGCATCCTGCTGACTGTGCAGCTGCTTATATCCAGCAACGCAAGCACATCAGGGTGGATGATCATGTAGGGTGTCTTGCTCAGGATCATCTCTGAGTTCACAAGCGTCTTCGTTTCCGAGGGCAGAAGTTCCATTATGATCGCGAGGGTGTTGCGATCCACAATTCCAGTTGACAGCACGTGGGTCTTCATACAGTCGCTGCAGGTCGTGATCATGAGGCTGGCTTCACTGCGAATATTATTCCCGGTAGAAGGAGTTATCGCAGTCGTAGAGATGCAGCGATAGCAGATAGCAACAACGGGTATATCTACTGGTACCCTCGATCTCATACCGGTCGGCATCCTTGTCAACACGTCCCTGACCATGGATCTAACCGACATCAAACTCCTCCCCAACCTGTTCTGGCCCCATCTTCCGACATTCTCCATCGCATGCGCCGAGTCAAACCCGATCCCCCAGACCCTGTCGGTTGGACTAGCCTCTATGATCAGACTGTCAGCTGTACCTAGAAGGATCTCCATGAGGTGGGCGTCCTGCGTGAATTTGCAGTAGTTGGCGTTGATCACCACGTTCATGTTCCTGGACTCCCAGATATCTGGGTCGAAGTTTGCAACCATTCTTCCCATCGACTTGTGCTTTCTTGGGGAAGCTGAGGATGAGCAGAGGATTCTCTCTGACATCCTAGTGTCGCCAAACATCAAGGCCTTCTTGTACATCATGTACTGCTCTGCTGTTGAGAACTTCTCATCATCGCACACGAACTCGGATCTGTGCCACTGGCTGAACTCGCCGAAGTGCGAGGTGACCTTCCAGAAGAAAATCGGGTTTTTGATCATGGCTCTATTGGCCTCGTGGTCTTCGATATGTTGCTGGAATGTATCCATCTTCGTGTTCGTGGATCGCGGTTGGATTCCGCGTTTAATAAGATTGCGTGACTGGTTCTTTTCGAAGCTGATAATTGACTTGGACGCTAAGCTAGAGGAACTTGCAGTAGGGACTATCAGTGACGGCAACATCGCCGGGGGTCTGGTCGGGACACGTGCGGACCGTCACAATCTCTATCACGTGTGCGCAACGCCTGTCTGATTTTATGAAATTGGAAATGAGGAAGTTAACGCTTGTGTAGCCCAGGCTCAACACGACTCAGCGATTGTCCATCTTCCAATGCACCGTGTGACCCATATCCATCTCCTAGATCTCGCCTTCACCATATTTTGAACGGTAGACTTGTAGCTGTCGCTAGCCATATGCATAACAGTGACCGAATTTGCCCCATATACACTAGCTAGTGTACACCATTGCGCAGGTAGATGGAGTCAGCTTTATAACATCCGCGAAGCCCATAAAGCTCAGCCCAACCCAACCTACTAATGGATTGGGGTTTGGGGCCTATCCTCGGGCCCACTGGTGGGCTATGGGCCCGGGGTGAAAGTCCACTGGGGGTTTAATAGCCCTTCTTTGGTTTTAATTACCCTACAACATATGTTTAGCACCGTTTCTCACTACCCTACCTAAGGTAATATTTTATTAATTTAAATTATTTAGAAACAGTTACTAGTTATATTTCTATATTACGTTAAAAAACGCGAAAACCTTGTTGATTTAGATAGTTAAAAAGCTATAGATGTTTACCCACAAAGTAGTAGTACTCCTATACCAATCCCAAATATATCCATCGATATCTTGTCGTGAAATATGTTCACATCTCATGCGTGGGGAAATACTGGGAAAAGAGAAACGAGTCACATAAAATGCTAGAAATTATACATCACATTGAGATCTCCAGATATCATCGGAAGTCGAAGCACGTTTCACCGAAATATGCTCTTTTCGTCAAAGATATTCCTGTACGCAAGGAGAAAACAAGGTGGAGAACTCGAATTAATCGTCGAATTACAGCCAAAAACGAGTTTATGGCGTACATGCATTAAGGTCCCTTCTTGAGTTGTGGTGCCGTAGTAGCGTAGTAACAAGGATTTTGCTTATAACCATTGAGGTGGTCACCCGGAAAGTCATTCTTCTCTACTTTCTATACCCAGAGATACGATCACCAAATGCCAGTTGTCAAGATAATGATTTTGACTCCCACGGGTCTACAGGATGCAGATAAAACAGTTGCTGAAATGGCTCGGGATCATAAAGATTCCAACACTCTGGTCACGGTCGCTTCACTTGCTTCTAGTGCTGGTGATGTCATAAGGCTTCCGACTGCCCTAGAATGCCCATCTGCAATGTGCCTTCTTCATGTAGACTTGGTGAAGGCTTGCTATCAGGCCCGCAGAGAGAGATATGACGCCTTCATTGTCGATTGTATGGACGATCTTGCTCTTGACGAGCTGAGAAGTATTTCCGGCGATATGGTAGTCATTGGGCCCACTCAATCGGCGGTTCAAACAGCCCTACGGCTTGGAAACCGTTACTCCATCATTATCGACGATCCTATCTTTAAAGAAGTCATGGAAAAGCAGCCTTTGCGCAGGCTAGGCCCTGATCAGTTACCTGTCTCGTACCGATCAATTGATATGTCCTACCATGGGGACCAGAAAGAACTGGAAACACAGCTCTTTGCACAGTCAAAGTTGGCAGTTGAAAGTGATGGCGCAGAAGTTGTGATCTTGGGATGTACTCTCGCGCGCGGATGGTATCAAAGCCTTCAGCAAAGACTCGACGTCCCTGTTATTGATGGCTCCATCAAGTTAGCAGAAATGTCTGCCCATATGAAAATCCGTTTTGGTTGGCGTGGGGTAACAAAATCTCCTACAGATGAGGAACTTAAGCGGGCCAACACGATGCAAGAGCCTTATGTGTTTAGTGGAAGAATCGATGTTGAATAGCCTGCTTCGGTTATACATGGACTATAATATCTACAGAGTTATAGTTTCAAGTGCGCTTTGTGGCCTCCTTAGGCTGATCCGTCATACCTTTTCGCTATTTCATGTTCCCTTGCTTGTATATAATTGAGCAGCTATTGTAGTGAGGCTCTCACCCTATTTGATTGAAGTTCTTACTCCTCATGTCTTTTACAGGCTTGGTAGGATGGTATAAGTTACGCAGCCTAGGTAAGAGAAATAATCATCAACTACGCATTATCGTTAGCTGGAATTACACCTTTCTCGTCCCATTATTTATATATAATTTACTTTCTATAAGCAGGAACTACCGAAAAGATTTACGGCTCAGTATCCCGACCAATCACATGCCCAAAATAAAGTTTACCATTCTCTTTCTATATGCATCACTTGGCCATCAACTTTCTCCCTCTTCGCCATCTCCTTTTATTTCGGTACGCTGCTCCTTTAATCTTATCAAAATGGCTTCGCCGTATCCCTGGTTCCGGGGCCCCGAGATCCACAGTATTGTCTTCGATGCCCCTGTACCGTCTACCTGGATTGTCCTTGAACGCGTCAACGAACACGAGCACCGAAAGGATCCCGATCACTCCGCTATCTCCTATGCCTCCGTTAAGTATCATTGTAAGAGACGCGGAGATAAAAGCAAAATCGCATTCGTTAGCATATATAAGCAAATTCCCCACCTCGGCACAGAGTTTGACGATTATACTACGGTTATTACTACCCGCGCTAAGCAAGCTAGGGCATAGAGACAGTTAGAACATGTTACTGTATATTTATAGACTTAAGACCTAGCGTAGAATCCCATCGTGCAGCTCTATTCATAGATTAACCTAACTAGTAGGTCTTTTCATATAGAAATCTTCGAAGCGGGTCTATAACTAGGCCGTCTACCCGCCAAGCTTACCGTCACCTGTTCTCAAATTTATATAAACTACCTAGGCAGCACATAAGATAATAATTTGTATTGAAGAACCTTTTCGAATATAATTCGTGTTACATTACTAGCTTGCTTAATGTTTCAAGTACCACTTTCTAACTGAAAGAAATCAGCTTCCTGAAGTGTCTACGTGCTTATTTTTCCTATACCTTCAATTGACCCGGGAAGTGTTAAACTACCCGTAACTATTAAATCATACTGGTTTAAAACCCCCCACCTCTCTTATATTTCTATTAAACCTCCTCGTTATCTTCAACTACACAATTTTGCCTCTATCTCTAGGCTCTAGCTGCAACACTCCGTTTCCCTCTGCCCTTCCTTCAACGTCAACATAGACGCTGACTCAGCTACTATAATCCTATATATTAGTTTGATTGCACTCGCGATGGCTACTCTAGGGCAGCAAGCTGAGGTACGCTCTTTATAACCTAGTCTCAGAATCAAGCTAATAGTATTCAAGCTTTGCATGCTATGGAAGCGCATGAAGCGGGTGGAAAACGAAATAAGAGACACGAGGCGCTAATTATTTCTGGGAAATCAGTTTCTGGCCCTGATTACAACCTCTATTAGTTTGATTTTTCGGACAGGTCGTGGTGGCCTTTAATTGGATGGCTGACTGGGCTAAGCATTCGGCCAGTATAGTAGAGGCACTGTTCACTATGCGTGGGTTTGCTAAAGTATATGCGAAGTTGCTTATATGGTACGAAATGCTTTTTCGTTTTACGTGTCCGCGTCCCCTACCGTTAAGCGAGCTACTCCTATATATGACTCGGATAGCTAGAGTATCAGTACTTGTCCATAGTAGTTATAAACCTCAGGTTATCTGTTAGGAGCTACCACGCTCGTATCTATATCTTCTTTTTGCGTCGGGCACGAACCTACTATCTAGCGTCTAGAATCTCTAGGGCTTGTATATAGATAATAGGGTCTTATAAGATATATTATAGCAACATCACCCAGCCCCTTAGTCTAGCTTCCCTGGTAGGCGAGACTGACTATACTGTCCCAAGGATGCCTAGGCGAAGGTCATTTTAAATTAGTTCAAGCTGAGACTAACTTCGGACTTCTGGTCATATCATTATCTAGATAGTGGAATGCATAAGTCATAAAAAAGCGCCTAATACCACCCTAGCTCAACCACGGCGGGACCTCCACACTATAGCACATGACAATCTTGCAGTAGCTAACTTGGTTTTAAGCTCAGAATACCTATAATCGTACGGCCGGGATTTTACGACAACACTAATGTATAAAATCGCTTCCATCTAGGTAATGAATTTCTAGGTCATGCCTCTTCTCACTCTTTACCGGCATGCTTCGTAACTATGCAGAGAGCCCGAGTAAAACATGTAGTAGGTTGAAGATATTAGATAGGTCATCTCTTGATTAAAGTCTTCGGGCATGTTCACGTAGGCCGCAGTGGAGCGACTTTTGGTCTTTAACGCTAGCTAGGGCATTAGAAAATAGTCTTGTTGGTGAAATAATCCAACAAAAGTGATGGACTTGGTATAGAGGGAACAATGGTATAGAATTGTATAAAGTATAACTTCCTATGGCTGCTAACTTCAAACACCGTTAGTAGTTCAATGTCAACAAGTTACAAAATTAGAGAACTGCTATTATAGATAGGCCAGCAGTACGTGCAATAGTATTCCTCAAAGTTGGTCCATTGCCGAAATGAAAGCAAAGGGGTGTAGGTCGTAATCAGAATTATATATTGACTGATCTTTCATCGGAATATCCATAGATGTCGTCCATTTGTGAAGGGTACGAGGTTGGTGGAGCGGGGAGCTTGAAGGTCCTGATGAACAGCAAAATTGCCTTATTAGTGATGAATTTATAGAAAGGTGGAAAGAGATAGAGAAGGCCACACACCTCGTTCACTTTATAGAAGCGGCTTCTGTCGAAACATATAAAAATCAGGCGACAAGGCATTAGTTTTCCTAAAAAGGGTGGCGTCTATAGGGCTAGGCGATGCACTCCACACATCCCGATAGTATTTTTTCGGCCCGATTTCTTCAACAACATCCGATATGGTGTAGTGGCTAACATCGCCGTCTCTCACACGGCAGCCGGGGGTTCGATTCCCCCTATCGGAGCTCATCGTGAGATAACTTTTTGCGTACATTGCCTGTACTACGGATATCTTTTTTTACACAGGTGAAGCAAAGAGAGGAAGGGGTTTGTAGGTAGTAGTAGTAGTAGTAGTAGTAGTAGTAGTAGTAGTAGTAGTAGTAGTAGTAGTAGTAGTAGTAGTAGTAGTAGTAGTAGTAGTAGTAGGTAGGTATAGGGCATATAAACCACACATTGTTTTCGTCCTAGATACGTTGTGTGCTTTTTTTTTTATATACAAAGTACGATCCTTCAACCTACTACATACTCTGGTATGCCTCTGTCTCTGTCTCATTACGGATGTAACAAATGGTTACTGCTTGTCTTCCAGCGGTGAAGATATTGTCATTAGAAAAAAAAAAATTTACTCTACAGGCCTTACTCCGTAGAAAGTCGTTCACCCGATGCTAAAACATCAGGCCAACCTAGAAAAAGGGTATGGTATGGCAAGCGATAAAAAGCAAAGTAACTCACTCCGATAGGGGGAATCGAACCCCCGGCTGCCGTGTGAGAGACGGCGATGTTAGCCACTACACCATATCGGATGTTGTTGAAGAAATCGGGCCGAAAAAAAACTATCGGGATGTGTGGAGTGCATCGCCTAGCCCTATAGACGCCACCCTTTTTAGGAAAACTAATGCCTTGTTGCCTGATTTTAGCCTCACTAAGGTTTGATTCCAGTCGTCTTCATAAGCGCCCTTCCGTTATTATTGGACTTCCACTTGTTCGTGCAAGCAACTTGTAGATTATTTACTATATGGAGTATAGATTAGGGTGTACTAGACAAGAAATTCTCACTGTTGTAGTTGCATAGTCTTATCAATGGTCGCATGCAGGTCATCCGAGGGTTTTGATCCATTTTTAAAGAGCCTCGAGATCTATACTACCCTAAAATATGCTACCTGAACCGCAATGAAACCGATTATATTTGGCTTATCCCAGCAATCTTCGACAATTCTGTGCAGGCTAGCGTCTGCTTCTCTTACCCTATTGCTGATGACTCCCGTACATATATATATATACCTACATAGGTATATATATATATATGTACGTGGTTTACCCATGTACGTTTTTATGTTTAACGTAACGTTAATTATTCCGCCCGCGCTTATATATATATTTTTTTACGAGAACCAGAGAAACCAACCCTTTCTTTTTTCCGACATGACTTTCCGTAGGCCTGTGTACCTTAAAAGGCAACTCAAAACTGGAAAAAAAAATTCCTCTGACCCGGGATCGAACCAGGGACCTCAAGATGACAAGTTCTTTTCAGAACAGGACAATTACAGTCTTGCGCTCTTCCAGCTGAGCTATCAGAGGAGTTGATATGATGAATTTATGTGCCTCAAGGTCTTATGAAGCTGCTTACCCTCGGCAAAAACCGGAGATTCTCTTATCGAGATTCTCTATATCTTGAACATTGACATGTGAAAGAGATTTTAGTATTTTAGTTCAAATCCTTTACAACCATACATATATATACATAATAATATGAGAACTCAAACCTAGACAATGGAGTACCCAGGACTCGCTATTTTCCCCATCCCGGCATCGATTCGGCGTCGATTGCCCCGCCTATATTCTTCCCGGGCCGAGTCAAACGGGGATCAGCATGGACTGGCCTCTTTGTCCGAACCTCATCTGTTATGTCACAGCCAACTATGTACAGTAGCACCAGAGATCCAAAGGCCTTCCACAGCTAGCGATGACTTGGATTCGTTTGACTCTGGCTCCGTGAGATCGGATAGCCGAGAGGGCATGGGGTCCCCAACGAAATATGACACCGAGTCTGGCTTGCGGTGGAATCGAGTCGTACCTGGTGAGAGTCCTGTCGGGAGTTGATGTATGAAGTATTCACGGCTTTTACTGACTTGTGAAGCGTTCAATCTTCTCCGCAATGCAGGATATGAAGCCCAGCAGCCACAGCCAGATGGCCGTCTGACTCGTTCTCTCTACGTCAATGCTCTGGTTTACCTTCTCGATGCTTTGCCTTCAGATCTGACCGATGAGGAAACTTCCATGCTTCAGCGTCATATCCCGGAGCCGGTTAAAGCTGGGTTGACAACTTACCCCCAACCGTCCGGGTATATGGATAGCGCGAATAAAATGAGCCCCCAGCCAAGATCATATCTGCATAAAATTCTCGCCTCGGTAATTGTGCAGCTCTTCATTTTATTGCGGTTGCTTCTACCATATGCAAAGGTGTTCATTCTCCAACTATATGAGTATGAGCACACACATCGCATCACCGAACGCATCGTGACTACTACACTGGAGGCAGCTAACGGGCTGGCCAAAGGCAGTATCAATCTTGGAACTGCTGTTTGCAAATTTAATGAAGGGCGGGTTGGTGCTGCTATCTCGAATTTTGCAGCCTGGTGGATGGAAGGTGTAGCTGGAGGGATATACGAGGGAGTTGGTGAGGGGATGGTACATTTGGGTCTCTCGGGAAAAGAAGAGGATTTAGATAGAATTCCTTTACAAATGAGTTATGTCGATAGATCATAGACAAAAAGGAAACCCACATAAAGCCGAATTCAATCTTTCGCAAAATCGAGCGCCGCATGGGAGAGAAGTCGTGTTGTATCAACGACGTCGATCCCACAATTTTGTTCCGTAAGAACAAGAGGCAACTCGGTGCACCCAAGGATAATACCATCACATCGTGTAGCGAGCTCCTTAGCAATGCGCACCAACTCGCCCGTCGTCTTTTCCAGGAAGATTCCATTGATCAACTCGTGTAAAATTGCATCCATGACAATTGTTTGGTCAATGTCAGACGCATAGACCGCAGCCATGCCCCTCTCTTGTAGCGGACCATTATAGAGACGGTTTTTGGCAGTCCAGGTTGTGCCTAGAACTCCAACGCTCTTGTAGCCTTGCATTTTGCAGTAATTCGCAGCGACGTCGAGGATACTGAGAACAGGGATGTTTGACTGAGTCAAAATATCGTCGAAAACGATGTGTGGAGTGTTAGCGCTGATGATGGCAAACTCGGCGCCAGCTTTGGCGGTGCGGTTGATCGAGTCGGTTATCAATTCTACCAGGAGCTGGTTGTTGCCAGACTTGAGTGCTTGCTCCAGGTCTCCGTAGATAGGAGTGTGGGTGACAATTTGAGGGTAAGCAATGCTCCGTCGCGCTGCTTCTCGTCCGATTTCTTGGAGGGTGATGACCCCGCCTTCTATGGTTGGGATACAGATTCCAATGGTTTTCATTTCGAGTACTTCAAATGATAAATGTAGAAAGATAATAGCTTCGATGGAGCCAAAAATCCAAATCTCAAGTTGTGTGTAGGAAGGTTGCTCCGACTTCTCTCTTGAAACATGAAAAATGTATCAACACCACTTACCCCTACCATGAAGGACTGGTCATGATGACTGAGCAATGACAGCAGTTTCGACTATGGGCGTTGCGCTAAACCACACAATTACCTTATGTTTGAATACGCTGCGACAAAAGGATAGAGGATTCATGAATCGTAGATCTACAGACAAACAAGTACCCCCCAGCGAGCCTACATACGACTCATTATACATACAATCATCCAATAAACCACACATAGATCTATTAAATCAACGAACCTCCTCTGTCCGCCGCTCTGAATCAACGAGCCAAGAACCCCCACCAGCAGCATGATTACCGCCAGCGGCACTAAGACTAACAGTTGTCTTCTTCAAATCCGGGAGAACCAGAACCGTCTCGCCATGGTTACGGTAGTCGACCTCACAAGGGATCGAGCGACGGGACGGCGCCATGGAACCAGCAGGATCAGTCGTAGCCGGCGATGTCGGGAGCTGAGATGCCGATGGGAAGAAGGTACGGATTTCAATACCCGGCAGAAGGAGGTGGCCTGGTTTCTGGGGGAGTAGTAAGACCGTGAAGCGGTTGGATTCACCATCGCGTGCGAGGAAGTTGCCCCGGCGGCGACCACCTATTTGCCACTGGTCGGGGTTGGCGTGAATCTCATAGGAACATTCAAGGGGCTGATCGGCGTTTTCGCGGCTCGCTGGAGAACACCAGCGTCGCGTGTGGCGGAGACATAGCTCGGCAGTGATCATCTGGCCGACCGCGGCGTGGGTGGAGGGCCCGGAGTCAGTGGTGGGCTTGGGTTGGAGCTGGAGGTCGGCTGTGTGCACGACTTGGATCTCGGGGACATCGACGGGGATGATGATGCGGCGGGCTGGGATGGTGGGTTGTGCAGGGAGCTGGATGGTGGAGTTGCCCTGTTGGAAATGTGAGTAAAATAGCCGACTAGAAACATTCGATTTGGTTCTTACCTTGTGCCACTCCTTAAGCCACTGTCGCACATCCTCGCCTGGTGCTTTCAAAGCTCCAAGTAGATCGTCCCATCGTACAGTCTGATACGGTAGCATGTTTACTTCTCGAATGAGCCCGATCGCTTCCATGTCATTTGTGGACAGCTGTGCGCGGAAACTGCTGACAATGTGCGACGTGAGTAGCGCTGCGTATCGGCGGAATGGACTGGAGTTAATGGAAGCAGCGAATTGCTTTTCGACTGCATCAAGACACTCATCGTCGACACATGTGAAGTCAACGCCCAGCTGTAGGCTGCGCGGTGTTGACGCGGCTGTGTTGCCTTGATTATGGCGAATTTTGTAAAGAAGAGACGCGGGCTGCTTGGGGAACACATCAAGGGCAACAGGCCCGGTGATGCTGGATTGCACCTCGTAAATGTCTGAGCTGGGTAAACTGCAGTTCATGATACGAAGCGGGATCAGCATGGCCGGGCTGATGGTGAAACGCGAGAATAGTACTTCATCCTTGAAAATGTCCTGTACGTTGACCGATATAGGTAGCGCTGAAACAACGCTGAATGATGCCGAGGAAGCAAATCGGCCTTGCTCGGTCTCATACCCGATCTCTGCTCGCGCTGAGAGGGTCGAAAATGCCTCCTCTACAGTGTAGGGGATACGCAGTCGGACGAATGACCGCGCCGGCAATTGCCCGAATTCGATAATGCCCGAGTCGTGGTTGGCATCCACATCGAGCTTGCCATCCACGATCTCTGTTTCTGCAAGGCGAAGCCGTAGGCCTGCAGTAGCTGGCCGGACACGGATCGTACCACTCTTGATATTGTTTCGTCCGGTGTCAAGTTCCAGCTCTAGCGTCCGCATGGCTTGGAGGTTAATAAGATGCGGTGACACGATCTTGGCCTGTAGGGCTTCGGCTGGAGGGTAGCAGTAGATGTACGGCTGGTCGTCGATTTCCTCTGAGTCTTCCGTTTCCCGGAAGCCAACTGGAAGGCTGGAGTCTCGCCCACCGTTGTAGTTAAAGACAAGGTTGCCAGCCCTCATCTCCAGACGGTCAATTAAGTACTTGCCTTGAAGCGTGGTCTGCATAAACGTTAGTTACTGGTATCGGAAGCCATCTTACGAGTACTTACCGAGGAGTCAATCAAAATCTGTGTCGACGATGATTTCACCATGAACTTGGCCGAGCTATCGATCCAGTGCTCAGAATGCTGAGAGCTGTTGGCGCTGATTAGCCGAATCTTGAGATTGTCAATCTCGATTTTGTGGCCCAAAAGGAATCGCAAGGACAACTGGATCTGGAACCCATCCTTGTTGTCATACAGCCGAATGGCCGGGTCAACACGGAGATCGGCAAAGAAGTCTGTCAAGGAAGCAGGGATATCCTTTTGAAGAGAGCCGGATGCTTCAAACAAATCGCGGACATGCCCTTCTAACATTTCCTGTTCAGTGGAGGGAATCGAGCCAGCTACGGACTTTTGCCTGACTGACAATTGCGCCTGCGCATATGTAGCAAATTTGGAAAGCAACCGTATCATCAACCGAACATAGTCCTCGTTCCGTTTGAGCTCCTTCAAGCACCGCGCGTGGAGTTCAAGCATGCTTCCTTCCAGAACAATCCAGTATTTCGAGCCGTAGAAAGGAGCCATCCGATAGAAATAGGAAGCAGCAGACTCGTAGTCTTTCCGGCGGTATCTTAAGATAGCAATTTCAGCCAGCGCCTGTTCGACAGAGTTGACACGATTGGCTGCCATATGATGGCGGATCAAACGGTCTGTGAGATCTTCATAAAAAAACAGGTAGGCATCTTTTGACTTTAATGCGGCCTTGAGGCCAGAAAGTTCGATTCCCACAAGCGACGATTGCTTCTTAGAAGGTAGTTGTGAATATTCAGTGTCATTGACGTCCAATGAGATCTCCGTAAGGCCACTGGCCCCAGAACGATGACGATCATCAAATAGAAGACCGAGATTGTCCCAGCCCTCAGCCCAGCCCCGTCTGCGAGCAATCTCCTCGAGGGACCGCCGAGCCAGAAGAAGCAATTCCGCCCTCCCGGATGATAGTTGTTCAGAACCAGTCTTTTGCGTTGGAATAGGCACGGGTTTAGGATGTTCCATAGTCGACCGCCGCTGCATCAAACCAACACTATCAGAGATATCCTGGGTCACTGGTCGGCCAGGTCGGGCACCACCTATGAGGGAACTAGAGCGGCGAGGTACATCGGCACGGGAATCTGCCATCGTGACAGCAGCGGCTTCACTCGATTGTGCAACAGCATGGAGAGAGGATTCGGGAAGCATGAGAGTGGGAGTAAAGGTTTGACTCAGGATCTGGAAAGCTGCCGAAAATGCCCACGTGGAGACTAGATTGTTGATAATATCTGTCTTGCCATCATGGACTACCTCCGCTAGCCCCAATTCGAGGTCATATCGAAGGGTACGTGCAGCTAAACCGATAAATTCCGTTGCCCTTCCACAAATCTCAGCTAGCAACATGAGATTTTCGGGCTTCTTGCCTAATTTCACCGCGTTGGCGTCTGCTGCGTATTCGCTGTTGTTCAGTGATGGAGCTCTCGCGGCTCGGAGTAGTAGAGTCAGTTGACGAGAGAAGATGTATGTGCGAAAATCGAAGATAGAGATATCGCTTGCTAGGATCATTTCCCGGTAGGACATCTTGTTGGCATTAAATGGGAAATCTTTCGGTTGAAGCTCAGACAAGAGAGTCCCGTCATCGTCATTGCCCTCGCTGTCATCGGGAGCCCCAGTCTCCAATGCCTTTTTGGCCATGCCAGCCCATTTTTTACTAGTGACCGAGAGTGCACCGCTGTGTTGGTCACCACTCCCATCGAGCTGGTCTCGAATGGCTGCATCCAAGCCAACAGCTAGTTCATCGTATCCAGCCAGCGCATCTTCGAAGAGGCCCACATTCTCGAACCCCCTAGCAAGACCTTCCTTAAGGATAAAAAACGTGCAGAAGTTCCAGCCGGGCAAACTGCGCTGAGAGTCTTTCTCCTTTATATCCTCTTCATATTGAGCCACACGCAGATCAAACGAAGCTAAGATCCCGTTCTTCATTTTATCAATCAAATCCTCCAGTTGCTCACCCAATTCAGGGGATTTTGTCCCCTGCTTTGGAAGACGTAATTGGGCCACCCGATCCACAGCAGACTTGGATGATCCATTGAAGTCGGCCTTCGCCTTTTCCAGCACTGTAGTTGAACCACGGCCCCATTTCGAGGTAGGTGTGGCCGCCTTCTCTGCGGCGTCGCAGTCCGGTACCACGTGCAGGATAAGCCACTCGAACGCGTCGTGCTTTTCCTGACTAGTCGTTGCGGGCTGCGAGCTTTGAGAAGACGCGTTGGCCTTGATCCATTCGCGAAGGTTCCGTCGGGCCGTTGCCTTGTAGCTTTCGTTGTCGTCGCATCGGAGGAGGTAAACTTTCAAGTATGGTGTCTGGCGTAGACCGGGAATCTGGTGTCTGCGATGAGCGATTGTGCCATGGACAGTATCACTCGATGATTTGCGTTCGTTTGATTCTTGCGCAGGCGTGAAGCCGATGCGGAGCGACTCGATTGATCGTACGGGGCGGGTTGGCGACTTCCAGTGGAGGTTCTTAAGGGGAAGCTTTGATTCAATCACGGGCTGAATGAGCGGAAATAAACCCGAAGGATCAGTGTATTCAACTGTGTATGGTCAGCGCAAGCTTTATTCGTCTCAATCCTGGTCGTACCCGTCACATTGCTCGAAGCCTGCGAAGGGTCCATTTTCCCGGGCGCAATACGGGAGAAAGCCAATTGACCTCAGGACATGTCAAAACTTAAGGTGCATAGGAAGCTTTCATGCGCCTGGAGTTAAGGGGAAAAGTTGCGGGGTGAGGGAGACCATGCTGTCAACAGCGGCGCACGGTCTTTTCCATTTTAGTGCATATCTCCTCGCTGTTTTGAGATTTAGATCTACGAGCTTTTCTTTGTTTTAATCTCTTCGATATTAGAGATATTTACATATAAGTACTTATTTATTGTTTATTCCACGTTAATATAAATATCATCTTCATACTATGTAGTTAATACCTTTTCCCGCTTTTTCCTACTGTCTACCTAGGAAACCGAAATGAAATATACAAAATGACACCCAAAATGATTAAAAGACTGTAAAGACATTACAAGGCCGTTTAAGCGGTTGAATATTCTTGTTTAACATCTCCAGGGGCATTTCAAAAAGAGAACTCTATATGGCAGCATGGGGATCTATACCCGATGTCCTCACACCTCAATCTCAAATATCTTTGCTAGCACAACACCACCAGCCAGAACAATTCCTGCCTCTAAAGGCAATCCAATCCGACCTGCCACAGAAAAAGGAACAAGAGCCTGATTTTCCGGTCTTACCACCTGTGGATAGAAAAACCCAGTTGAGGTGACACCTAGCCATGCCATAGACCACGTTAGGCCGAGAGCTCTTTGCCACAGCGGCTTAGGAATATCCTTGATTGGTCTATTAGACTTGGAAAAATATTTCCAAAGTGCTTTGATGCCATCTTCGATCATGAGGCCTAGAGGGGCAGTGAGGAAGAATAACAGGGCGCCGGATTCCTTTGCTGGGATTCCCTGCACAATATCGAGGATGAGATGCAGCCCGCCCGAACAAAAGAAAACAACAAAAACGTTCATATACCGCTGCAACAAAGACCTTGGCCTTAGACCTAATAGGTCTTGGGTGATGAAGGCGCTGACCGAGGTCAGGGGATTTTGTAGCAATTGATGCCAGAATTTCCTACCAAATCGTTGTCAGCATGATATCCTGCCTCTAATTATGTGCAGTGAGTGAGCTTACCCCCAGAAGCCACGTACGGTATCGGCATCCAGTGCTCTTCCGTACAGTGGAGGGCAATTTGTAGGCGAGTCTAGTCCAAGTCCCACGGTAATTATCGAAAAGACACGATGGTGGAAGTCTATGAGAATCCGGCTGACCACAAATCCAGCCATGAGATTTGAGATGATGCGTTCGATCCATTGTTCGGTTGAGATATCCCATCGAGGTACTGGCGGCAGCATCCCACTTTTCTCTTGCTCCAATGCTTGCTGTAACGCAAGTGTAGCAAAGACATCTAGAGCTAGATATTGCCAAACAACAATGGATATCTGGCGAATTAGAAAGCGACCTCGAGGAGGCGTGTTCATATCGCGTCGTTTATAATATGCTGGCTGTGGCGGGGCATTCTTTATCTGCCATGGAGTGTTGATCCCACGAGGGTCGGTAAAAAGCCGAATCGCGGCATAAATTCGAGCCACCAAGCTCTGGCTACCCCCAGAAGGCAGATCATTGCTATCCTTGGGGTTGATGAGTAGCAAATTTAGGCATTGGAAGAAGATGGTCACGAATAGGCGAGCGCATTCACACCATATAAATCCCGGGCCCAGGGCTGTGGCTACTGGTATAGCCCGATATACAATTGAGACAGCGCATGGAATCGACAGATACCGAAGGGCTGATCGCTTTGGCGTTGCGATTAGGAGAGTGGCAGGTATAAGGCAATGGACAGCATAAAGAAAAAGAATATGCACAATGTTGGAAGAGTTGGACATGACCCTATCCCTAAACAGAGGAAAACAATGAATCTTTTAATGGGTGTTGATGTTGTGAGACGTAATTTTCTATTAAAAGGGGGCAATCATTTCGTATTTTTCAAGGGCTTATACTGCATGGGCCTTACGGTCAGCGATAAATACGAAAATGACAAAAATATATGCTTCTACATTATTAGCATTTCTTTTTTTCCCCCCCAAAGGATTGAGAATTGATGTCTCCTTAGATAAATATCTGTACTTTGTTTCATATCCAAGAGTTTCTTGTGAATCACTCGATTCATAGATCCTGGGCGATATTAGTGGAATAATAAATAATTCGCTAGTATGCACCTCTCTTAATTATCCCCAATGAAGGCCATAATGTGTAGAGACTCTCCATTAGGAGAGTATCGAGTAGCCATGTGAGTACATGCCTGTCGATGTTTATATTGACAACGTATATAAATCACGTGGAGGGGTATCAGCCCTAGGTATTTCCCCGCCCATATGGATGTAATCACAGTGTAAACCTTCTGTTCATAACATCCCAAAGACCTAGTAAATTATCTTACACCTTTCAAAATGGACTCAGCCATCTACGATGCCGAGACTCGATTTATCGAGCGCCACCCTGAATCCCAGCGCCTGCACAAGCTGTCACTTGCAAGCTTACCGGGAGGAAATACCCGCACTCTGTTGCACACCGCACCATTTCCAGTTTTTATGCGCAAAGGAAAGGGATCAGAATTGTGGGACGAAGATGGGAACAAGTAAGAATATTAATATAGACCCCGAGAACGTGTAGACTAACGGTATTTCCTAGATATTATGATCTAGTCGGTGAATTGTCCGCCGGGCTATATGGGCACTCTCACCCAACGCTACAGAAAGTATTGACAGATACCATTCAGAATATTGGTTTGAGTCTGGGTGCAACCAATATCTACGAGCAGCAATATGCCTCATTGCTGTGTGAGCGATTTGGACTTGAACGGGTTCGATTTACAAACTCAGGAACAGAAGCAAACATACATTGTCTTGCTGCAGCCAGAAAATTCACCAGTCGTCGTAAGATAATCGTCTTTCGTGGAGCCTATCATGGTAGTGTGCTATCCTTTGGGGCTGGAATTCCAGAAAACAACATTGACCAGGCTGATTGGGTACTACTACAGTATAACGATTCGGAGGGGGTCCGGGAAGCGTTTTTACAGAATGATGATATTGCCGCCGTCATTCTGGAGGGGATCCAGGGGTCTGCCGGGTTTATTTCGGCATCCTTGGAGTTCCTACGAACAATCCGCGAGGAGAGCGAGAAAGCGGGCGCATTGATGATTCTGGACGAAGTCATGACATCTCGGTTGGCGTTTGGTGGTCTGAAAAATATGCTCGGAATCAGACCAGATCTTATCACTTTGGGCAAGTATCTAGGTGGAGGCTTGCCATTCGGGGCCTTCGGTGGTCGAGGAGATATTATGGATGTTTTCAACCCGCTCACTCCCGGGGCTTTGGCACATTCTGGCACATTCCAGAATAACACTTTGATGCTACACTCCGGGTATGCGGGACTGTCTGAAGTGTATACCGCTGAAGCTGTTCTATCGCTCAATGCCCAAGGCGATGACTTGCGTCAGCGCTTGCAACGGGTCTTTGAGGGAACTAAGTTCTGCGTCACTGGTCAGGGTTCTCTCATGTGTGTCCACACCACCCAGACAGGACTTCGCGCGGAGCAGATCACTTGTCGGGATAATGTTGCTGCGGTTGAGGCCACAGATCTCAAACAGCTTTTCTGGTTGGAGCTGGTGAATGCAGGGTTCTGGGTGCAGAGTCGGGGAACAATCACCTTGAACATCGCCATGTCTACCGCAGCTCTCGATATGTTTGTTGAAGCTGTTGAGAAGTTCTGCAAGAGATATAGATCCTTCATTGTAGTTTAGAACATACATGCGTGATATCATTATCATTATAGTGGGCCTAAATAAGGAGGCATAATACTTAAAGAATTCTATTTGGATGTAAATCTAGAATTGAGGACATGTAACACAATTGCAACAGAGGGTTTGGAGACAATCGTCATAGGGTTCAAGTTGGGTAATTACATAGAAGAAAGGACAGTTATACTCAATCATGCGGATTCTACATGTAGTCACGCCGCGTCATTATGAACACAATAAGAAAAAGACAAAAACCCGACAGCTAGTCGTATAATAGGGAAGGCTCACTCGCTCAGGAACAACGCCAGAGAAATATATGAGGGAAAAGAAAAACAGAAGGAAAAAGAAAGAGAAAAGAAAATGCCCTAAATGCCCATTTCCACAGCCGGCTGTGTATAGCGAGCTTTCACAAATTCAAAGCTGTCCGTGACGCCTTGCCAAATCCCGGGAACGTAGTTTCGACCCCAGGCGCAAATAACAAGAATAAGAAGAGGAATCTGTAGAAATTGTATTAGCTGTGCATTAGGCAGGAGAAACGAAGCTGGTGGACATATTTGTTTACTTACCCAGATGAAGTATAGGTTTCGGTCGCTGCCTAGACCCTTCATTCGTCGAGCCTGTTGCTCTCGAAGATGCTTTTGCTGTTCACGCGAGATGACGTTGCGCCCGATTGTGATATCTTTGATATCATCCTTCTCAACTTGAGCGCGAGGAGCGGAAGCAGAAGCGGAAGCGGCGGCGGCAGCAGCAGCAGCAGCACTGCTCTGGGCCTCGAAGTGTTCATCGATGGCTGCCTCTGTTGCGGCGCGGAGTAGACTAGACTTCTTCATGTCGGACTCATCGGTGGCATCGGGGTGTGGGAATAGCTCATCATATGAAGGTGGTTGGTTGGGACTGGGCGCGGAGGTGCCCTTTAGGTAATCCCACCAGCCGTCCCGAGCAGTAGGTCGGTGAGGGACGAGGTTGGTTATACGGCGCATCATTCCTTGCCCTTGATAGTCTTGGAGGGCGGGCATCGCAGGTATCGCGGGCATTGCGGGCATCGGGGGCATCGGAGGTAAAGCTGGTAGGTTCGGGAAGGCATTAGCCACGCTCTGCTGGAATTGATTGATTTGAAGAGCCAGCTGGTCACGCCACGCAACGAGAGGTGCTGGCGGGGCAAAGCCTTGAGAATCTCCAGGTGCGATGGTCTGTTCACTATTGTCGATGATTTGCGGGCGGATATCTTGGTGCAAACTAGACCGACGAGAAGGGCTGAATTGAAGAGGTTCTGAGTCGGAATCGTCGGTAGTTTCCTCCTCATCATCCACATCCTCTGAGTCATCAACGTCATGGTCAAGAGATCCAGAGGCAGAAGACACCTCCCACATCGAGCTGAGCGAGGCTGAGCTACTTTGACGGCGGCGCGATGTGAGGGATCCAACACTGCGGGACCGGTAGTGGCGAGACGGAAGCAATGCGGCTTGGTGCGCGGGGAGCGTTGTCGCTAGGTCCGCGGCAGTGAAGCCTCGTACACTACGAGTGTTGGGATTGGCGCCCGTCAGACGCAAGCGGTGGACAATGTGAGCATGGCCATTAAGTGCGGCCAGATGCATTGGCGCATTGCCCGTGTTGTCTTGCACATCGGGGTTTGCACCTCGAGCCAAAAGACCAGCAACAAATCTAGTGAGTCCCAATGACGCCGCAAAGTGAAGAAGACTCTGACCGGTGGCACTACGAGAGTTATACCGTGCTGATCGGGGACTGTCATCCAAGTCGATAAATTCCAAGTAGGTCAGCATCTTGGAGTCGAGATCGCCAAGTTTCCCTTGGTTCTCAAGACCCGGTACTTGGCGTTGCTGACTGCCAGAGGAGTTACCGTTACTTTGCATGTCTGCCTGCATGTTGAAGAACGCATTTGGATCGCTTCCCATAATTTGTTGCGCTGTGTGGAATGCATCCGCTTGGCTGCCCAATTTCTGACCAAGGATGTTCAGTGCCAAGCGATACATTTGAAGCTCACGATCGTCCACATAGCGGAAGAACAGCTGCTGTTTAGGCATGATGGGCTGAGGCTGCTGGACTTGGCCAAACGTTGGGTGCTCATGTTTGAACACCACAGACACCAATCCCGGTTGCAGAGCGGGAGGGGTCAGGCAGTTGAGGCACTTATCACCCCAGAATGTGGTTGTGGTAGCCAAGGTGTCACCGAAAACAACCTCCATGCCAGGATAAAACCCGCTGCCCAACAACGTAACCTCAGTACCTCCTGTGATGGAGCCCTCGGCAGGTACTAACTTGTGGATGACTGAGGGCAATCGATTGGGGGTATTGTTGAGGGGAGGCCAAGCCTGACTTGAGGAATTCGCACCAAGTCCAATGGGGATATTTGCATCATGGAAGCCGTTGCGATTCGAGCCACCTGGTGTCCCCGGACGACTGGGTTGGGTGGAGTTGGGCGTCGATGCCACCGTTCCCCCGGCCAGGGTATCCAAACTTTGCCGTTGGGCAGGAGTTGGGTTGAAGAATGGATTGTTATCATTGTTCTGGTTGGGAGTGGGCGGGCCATTTCCATATTGAGACATGGAGGACGGGTTTACGAATGGCCGTTCAGTTGGTGAAGCGAACCCTCGGGCAGCCGCAAGTTGCGCAGCATTGGTCATAGCCGCTGCGGATGACTGAGGTGTCTCGAGTCTTGTCATCGTTAGTTCCGATGGAAGCCTTCCAGAGCTGCTGTGCTTGCGTCGTTTGCTCTGTGGCCCTTGGAAATCAGATGGCGATGCGCCTCGAGACAGGCTCCTGGACGTTTGAGGCACATGCACTCCATTCGTTGTGCCCGGTGTTGTAAATGAACTGGGCGTAAGCTGATATTGAGAATTGAACCTTTGTTGAAGGCCCTGCAGATCAGTTGGTGATTGAGGGGCACCGAAAGAATTTTGTCCGTTCTCGGGGTTTTGGCCCGAGGAAAACACTCCAACCCCTGGTACTTGTGTCCCATCTGCGAGAGATGGCGAAGGGCCAGTCGGCGCAGGCGCAGATGGAGCCTGCGTCTTGTGGTCATCGGTTATCATAATCGAATTTGTGATTGCCTGCGCCACCACGTTGTCCAAGTGATCCTTCACAGTGAAGATAACCTGGAACCCAAGCTTCTCGTTCTGGTGTCGGCAATAGCATGCGATCCGCATCGGCAGTTCCACTTGCATTGACCCTGGTGGGACCGATAATCTATCGCCGTAGCCACCGCTGGCGTTCTTTGCTGGTTCGGTCCATTCCTTGATCTCGCTAGTGTTGAAAACAATGACACGCTTCTCTTCATCCTTTTGAAACAATTCATCTTCCTCGGGCTTCCTTTGTTTCTTTCGTGACGCACGTTTCCGTTCTCGCTGTATACAACCGCTGCAGATTTTCACATCACCACCATCCAACGGACGTTCGTCATCCGATGTTGGTTGATAGTGATCACCCCTTGTCCGTGCAAATGCCCGCTTGATTTTTTCTCTGTCTTGCATGGCGCTTGTGCATACTAGACTTGTATACAATTGAAGCGTATCACGGGCAGGTTCGGTGGCAGGAGGAGCAAGAAATTTGAGCTTTGAGATGGTGTGCGAGGGAAGACGGAGTTTCTTGACGCCGGTAGGTAACGGGGAGAGGGTCAATCGGATGGGAATTTGAGTCTCGACGCGGGATTTGAGGGAAGTCGGATGCACAGTGAGAACAGGTTGTAGAGAGCGCGTATTCATTTGAGGTTGGGCTGGAGAGGAAGCGAAGTTGACAGGGAATTGGTATGATGCGGGCGAGCCGAAGTTCATGGCCGGTGATAGCGAGGTGTGAAGAGGTGACTGGTGATTCATGTTGATGCCTCCGAAGCTTTCTTCTAGAAATGACGAAGGAGAGTGCCCACCCCATTGTGGAGCCACTCTATCCATATCTTGGGGGATCGCGGTCGAGTATGGGGATTGACCATTGAGTCCAAAAGCGAAGAACGGAGACCCGGGGGCATGAACCTGTGAATTGTTAGCATTTCGCGACAAACAAAAAATGCCGTTCAAGCGACTCACTGAAGGCACAGCGTCGACCGATGCTAGCGCAACATGATTGCTCGAAGGACTCCAGAGCTGGGATTTGGAGCGCTTCTGGGGTCTCGGGAGTGACCCATTGTCCGTTTTCAATGGGCTAGGGCTACTCGCTGCACTTTCAAAATCAAAGGCTGCGTCCATCGCTTTATTGCTGACCTCCAGATCCGGATCCATAGAGAAACCACCATCCATAGGAAAAGAAGGGTCAATATTGAACGGTGATTCCTCCTTAACTGACGATAATTCCGGGCGCATCCAGTCCTCCGATGGGTAACTATTGGAAGCCAAGGGGTTCTCACTATGCGCTGCGGAGTTGGTCGAAGCGATCGATGTTTGTCGCAGGTGATTCCGTGGTGATTCGGATGAAGAACTGCGACCCGAATCATCTGGGGATTCAGCTGGCGAGTCCGCGGCAAGAGTCTGCACCGGTCTCAAGGGGTTTTGGTCTTGGTATGGTTTGGAAGGCCCCGATGTGCCATTCGGACGTGAAGTTGTGGTTCGTGCGAATAAGTCGTCAAAGTCTCCCCCAGCACTTTCGGTTGACATCTCAAGTTTTGTGGGGTCCAAAAAGTCCATGTTGGCGTTACGGAAGGTGGACTCTATGTCGTCGTCCATGATGATAGGATCCAGGGCGGAAAATGAGGGCGAAAAGGGTGCCTGCGGTGATCCCATGCTTCGTGTGTTTCCGTGTTCAACGTTTCAATCAACCGCCACCTTCACAACAATTGAATGTAGCACGTGTTGAAAGGGATCCGGAAAGGCGATAGGGATCCAGAGAGAATGACAATCAAGTCTTGACGCGGTTTAAACCAGGGCCAGTTTCCGATATCATGGCCCTGAGAAAGGTGAGATTTGAGGTTGGGGAAAGTCACTGCCTGTGGCCGGGGAATCTGGAAAGGGGAGCGGGAAAACTGTGAACGCCGAGTTATGGCAGAACTCAACAAATGTGATTCTTTTTTAGAATATATTCACCTTTATACTGTAATGAGATACTATAATATTTGAATTATATTTATGTATTTGAAAATAATCTGTTTCTTTTCTTTTTTTTTCTTCTTTCTAGAGATTCTCCATGTGTCAAATTATAACTTTTTTTTCAAAAATAGACACCTCAGGCCTCAGAAGGCGGTGACTCAGGTTGATCCCCGTCTGACAAGTCCGACTATCCCTTTTGAGATCTGTTCCATCAAATAATTGGAGAGTTGTACTCCGATCAACTTTCGGCTTATTACTTTCTTTCTACTCACCGAACAGAGTGATCCTCGGGACTAATTGGGACAAAGTACTCCGTACTCCGTATGGAGTACATGCATAAGGATAACACAAGAGGCCTGTGCCAAGTGCACAAAGATACTTCGGGTCAACATGACTTGCGAAGGCAGAGATTGTGGCACCCCGGCTAGCGGCTGTGTCCTACCCTCATCATATTGGAGTAACACTCCTAGTAGATCTAGCTATCAGTTGTGTGTTGTTAATCACGATAACGTATCGCCTCAATGCAGGTGATAGGTGACACTATGCAGGTTTTCATTGTCGGACTCACCACGGAAAGGGATCTTGAGTAATGTTGTGCGAACTCTCAATATGCTACTCCATATAGGATATATAATATATCAAAGTCTTTGGATGTATGTTGTACTTTGTGGAATGGCTTGACTATCCAAAGATATGGGGGTGAACGGCCCTTCATATATGTTGTATGGAGATCGATTTCCTCCGTATGTTGTACATTCAAGCTAGACTGACGTTGAAACGGGATCTAGCTTGGCTAGGTGTCCACATCGAAACTTCCTATCAGGCTTCTTGAATTTGAAAAATGTTTCCAGGGTGACTTGGTCAAAAGTCCATAAAAATGCATGTTAGAATGTGATTTTCTGACTTGATCACGATTTGCTTTAGACAATTTAGGCAATTTACAGAGATCTGAACCGAGACCTATGAGTCATTAAAGTCGAGTACAACAGTATATGCCGGTGTTTTACCTAGTTAGAATAATTCTAATGACTTTATGGACTCTTGATGTTTGGACTGTGATAGGATTGAATTAGCCGCTGAGAAGTTGAACTTTTGTCAACGTCATGTTTCAACTTTTGTAACATAAGACAGAGATCAACCAGATTCAGTTTAACGTCCGTACAACATACGGAGCACTCCGTATCCAAACTTGAATTCTCCGAACATCCCCTGAAGCATATTTCAACGAAATTTCCCCGAGCAGCGGAGTTGATCAATCTTTTTTTAAGGGATGAAACTTGAACTGTCACAGACAAGCGCCGATCGACAGCCACCAAATAGAGATATGAGACAGAGTCAAATACCCCCCTCCTTGATGCTCCTTCGTGATCCTGATAGAGCATAGCTTAATTACCTTTCTTCACTAGTGCATCCTTAGGAACATCCAGACGCTGTGAAAAAACCACATGCTTCATTTATCTGTCACCTAGATGGTTTCTCGCTCACAATTCTCCACCTATGGGTGCTCTCACTGGAATCCTCGTCTCGGAAACACATATTGAACATGGAGATATCCTCTATGAGGATTTCTTGGCAGAGTTGGTGCTTTTGTGAGCTATGATGCTGAGAATCTATATAAGGCCCTGGAATCAGGGCCATTTGATTCTTCTCATCCATCCTTTGCATTCCATTCTTTTCAAGGTCTAGTACCATTCATTCTCTATTTGGGTTTGACTTCATTGACTGAAGTCCCCTTTTCATTCTTTTTTTCGACTCTTTTGATACTACGATCCTTCGATCCTACGCTGTGCGTTTTTATCTCAAAACTTCTTCAAAATGTCTGTCCCAAAGATTGCGGGTCTCCTGCTTAGCTCGGCCGCCATGGTCGCTGGTCACGGTTATCTGTCGGGTGCTGTTATTGATGGCACCTACCACGGTGGCTTCCTCGTCGATAAATACAATTACTCGCCCGAGGTTCCTGAGAACATCGGATGGGCTGAGACTGCCACCGACCTTGGCTTCGTCGACGCCACCGGCTACTCTGGCCCCGACATTATCTGTCACAAGGAGGCCACCCCTGGTGCTCTCTCCGCAGAGATCAAGGCCGGTGGTTCCATCGAGCTGCAGTGGACTAAGTGGCCCGAGAGCCACCACGGCCCGGTCATCACCTACATGGCCAACTGCAAGGGTGACTGCTCCAAGGTCGACAAGGCCACCCTCGAATTCTTCAAGATCGATGAGGCTGGTCTGATCGACGGCAGCAACGTCCCTGGTAAATGGGCATCTGACGATCTCATTGCCGCCAACAACAGCCGCACTGTGACTATCCCTAGCGCCATTGCCGCTGGTAACTACGTTCTCCGTCACGAGATCATTGGCCTGCACTCTGCTGGCAATGCCAACGGTGCCCAAAACTACCCCCAGTGTATCAACCTGAAGGTCACCGGCGGCGGCAGCGACTCTCCTAAGGGCGTTCTCGGCACAGAGCTCTACAAGGCCGCTGATCCCGGCATTCTGGTCAACATCTACACTGCCATGGACTCATACAAGATCCCCGGTCCTGCTTTGTACACCGGCGCTGCCCCGGGCTCCTCGACCACTGCTCCCGCCCCTACGACCACCGCTGCACCCACCACTGTCGCGCCTACTACCACTCCCTCAAGCGTGAGTGCCCCTACCCCGAGCTCCTCTTCGTTCTCGCACCCGCACTCCACCCGCCGTCCCACTCGCAGCCCCACCGGCACCCCTACCCCCTCGTCTACACCTCTTGCCCCAACCTCCACCCCCAGTGGATCTAGTTCCGTGTCGACCGGTGCTCCTGCCGTGACCGAGACTCCCACCTCTGCTGCTTCTTCCTCTGCTGCCCAGGGTACTGACGAGCCTGCCACACAGACTCCTAGCAGCACCCCCGAAGCCTCCGTCACAGTGAGCTCCCCAGGTCAGTCCGCCCAGAGCTCCGTCCCCGCTGGTGGCAACAACGCCCAGCCTAGCCCTACTCCTACCCCCGACTCCGGCTCTGGCTCCGGCTCCGGCTCTGGCTCTGGCTCTGGCTCTGGCTCTGGCTCCGAGGGCCCTAGCGACTTCTCGGCATACCTCAGCTCCCTAAGTGCCGATAAGCTCCTCGAGGTTATCCGCTCGACCATGAAGTGGCTTGTCTCCGACAAGAAGGTGCACGCCCGTGCCCTGTCGTTCTAGATGTTCTCTCTGCGCTAGATTTATAGCCATGGAAAACTACACATCTATTTCTATATATGATGTGATGAACGTCTTTGAAACTCGATCAGGTATCCTGTCTTTTTGTTGATTGTTCAATTTGGACTGCTTGTAACAACACCGTGTTACGGATCTCCTTTCTGTTCTTTTCCTCCTCGCCTTTTGCACACAGGAGACGATAGGCCTGCCTTGGTCTTTTTTCCTACTTTACCTTTACGAATGGAATTGCTGGATTGCTCATTATAACATCGTAGATAAAAGCGTATTGCTCCCTTGTATAGTACTCCCAGTTCGAAGAGGATAACATTGGGGCAAACACTAGAGGCAAGTGATTGCCTGTAACCAAATAGAAACCAAATAGAAATGTAATCCTGCCATACAACATGCACATTGTAGAGAAATGTCGAACTGCAGCAGAACTAAGCCTCCATCGGGTGTTGAGGTTCTTGGCAATTCGGCGAATTATTGAAACCCCCGATTCCATGCTCAATGGAGTATTGACAGTAGGCGACTGTTTTCGGAGACATAAGTAAGGCTTTGGCCCAAGATAATATTAGGGATGAAAGAACACTCCCATATGTTTCTGGGTTTTCCTTTTTTTAGTATGCTATATGCATAAGAAGGCGATGAAGAATAAACCATACAGACCTCGGATTTCCGAGGCATTAGGCGAGATTGGTACAATCATCAACACTTGCCACATTGTTTGCGAGGTAGAAAGTCATATTGTAAAGAGTTCCGTGCAGATAAAACTGAGGTTTGACCACATTAGAACGTATGTCGAGTAAGAGGCCTGATTAAAGCAGTCAATAAAGAATTGTGTATCTTTCCTGGGATAGTATCACCTCAGATAGGTGCTGATTTTGATGAAAGCCCATGATCTTCTAGAATCCCTTTTTCGAATTCTCAAAGGAGAGTTTGGGGAGGTAGAGATGATGCTATGGAAGAGTCTAAGGAGTTATCTCAGGTAGTACAGCCCTGGAGAGATTATATACGAACTGGACAAAGCACCTGGACTCATCTAAACTCTCGGGTCATTCTTCGATCTCTAGACATATTAGCAACCATTTATAACCCACAATGTCAACCTCGGATACCGATACCAATAGAGCTGAAAGCAATGATACCTCCAACCAACCAAGCATTGAACCTATCTACGGCATACGCGAGTCCACACAGCACCATGCAGATAATACCCGTCGCGTAGATGCTACACAGCGCACAGAAATCTACACTGATAACCCGGGCCATGCGAGTCGTCTTACAGACGAGGAACGGCAGAGACTAGAGGAACTCGCAGGAGACTCGAGCGGGGGTGCGATCTTCGTTACGTATGATCTAGTGCACAGAATAGATACGCGCATGGCGGATGGGACCCGTCGCACGGATGAGGCTTTGATGCAGTACTTGTTTCAGGATGATATATGGGAGGCTGTTGATAGTGGTGATACCAATGGCACAGAAACACGAAGGGAGAATAGAAACGGGAATGGCAATGGAAGACAAGATGACAGCGAATTGAAGCTGCCGAATGGAACTGGGGAGAGTCATGAAGAGGGACTGAAGCAACAGAGGGACGGTTAATTCAATGTTGAGTCGGAAATTGGCTTTCTACGATTCGGATGGTTATATGACGATGAACTAACTAGGAGATATGTACCTGTGGGGTAGTTTAATCCATTATGAGTGTCTTCTGTTCTAGCAGTATGCTGCAGGTGATTGATCATTTGTACTGGAAAAACGCTGTCTATCTATTGATGAAGAAATAATCTTTTGCACAATCATTTCTTCTTCTTGGTCTTATCCACAACCTCGATCATCTGTGGCTTCAATCCACGGCGAACAAGAGCTGTCTCAATAGCCTTTCGCTGGTCGCCCTGGACCAATACTTCCATAATTCCCTTTGGGGCACCGGTAGCCTGTGTCACACTAGTGCTGCCGGCACACTTCTTCTGCAGTTCCTGTGCCAACAGACTAGGAATAATGCCGAAGATCTCCAGGGTCATTACTTTCGTAACGGTCTTTGAACCTGTCCGCTTCTCGAGGGTGACTGTAACCTTGGGTGCGGTGCCTGCTTTTGGCTTGACGTCTGAAATGGTTTGACCGGTTCTCAAAATGACATGGTATGGCGAGAGGAGCGTTTTATCATCCATGAGTCGTTTAAAAAGGCCATCGCGAGTGATCTTACCCCGTGCCAGCGTCCCTTTATCCTCCGTAGATGATGAAGTGAAGACGGAGTTTGCAAGGAATGGGTTGAGAGTGATGATGCGCCGGTTCTCTTTCGAGATTATCGGCGGATTTTGGGATTCAAGGTATTGATCCAAGTGGCTGGATACTTCGGAGTATTTGTAGAAGTTATTTGTGTCACTGGCAGCGAGCGCAGGGAAAATGGTTGGCACTAGCTTTCCTGATGGCCGATATAGACTTTGCACAGTGATCGTCTGGCCAACTGAAGGGTCGGAGCCATCCGTTGCAGCCGATTTTTTGCCTTCGGGTGTAGCAGCCTTACTGTTCTCCAGAGCACGAGGCGAAGGCAGTCTGTATGGCACGAATCGCTGGACTCGGTGGTCCTCAAAGTCCACATCCAAAATGACGGTCTCTTGACCATTACGTTCCTTAGTTTTGACAAGCTTCGATTTGTCTAGATGTTTCATGAACTTTTTGACGTTCTTCCAACTGGTTTTTTTGATGTTGTAATGCTGAGCCTGTTGTGGGTTATACACAGGAAGATAAGGAGTTGTGAAGTTGGCTATCAATGCCGAAGCTGTGATTGGTAGTGGAAGGCCATGGTCGGTCGCTGATGGGTTATCCTGCTTGAGCTTGTAGAGGGCGTAGACAAAAGCATTAACAAAAGCCTCATCAATTTCTATGTTTGTTAGTACTTAGTTATTTTTCATTGAGGAGGGGAGGAGGTGCTTACCCTCTGTTGTGGGCGCCTCATCTTCGGCCACGAGTTCTTCTGCCCCAGTTGCATCATTGCTTGGTGTCTCAATGTCACCCGAGGCGGCTATAGCCTCATTCTCGATTTTCAAATCCTCCATTCGTTCCTCAACACCCTCAGTTTTATCCTCATCCCAACCTTCCAAATACTCTGGAGCTGGGCGACCCGGTAGTGATGCAGAGCTCCACGCCCAAAGTTCATCGCCCTCCCAATGCAATCCACGGACCGCATGGCCCTTCGTCCCTTGCACCTCCCCCAATGCCGAAACATCGATCTCACAGATACCTATAAAGCGTGGTACTGTATGAGTGTTTACACTCGCGACCGCAACAACGGCGCCCTTGACCGCCCTTTCAGGGAAGGGAGGTTCATTCGCAAGGCCCGGTGTCATTAAGTCAGCTCCACCATGGAGCTTTCCCATCACAAACTCTGGGGTGTAGAGTAAGGGAACTAGGTTCGGGTTGTGCCATAGTGTATAGACAGTTGGGTATAGTCGTTTGTCGGCCCCTGGACCATGTTCAAGCTTGAACCATAGCACCCGCTCATCGCCGTCGGGATGTGTACCAACATACACGATCCCTTGAAGTTCGCGAAGGTCTGGACCAGCGGTAGTTGTGAAACGAGCAGTTTGAATGTTATCAGGCAGGAGAGCATTCCGGATCGATGTAAGGCTCGAGGCAGCGGATGCTGTGCTGGAGTCTGCTTTGGTAGAGGTTGAGGGAAGGGGGATCTGATAATCCTTGATAATTTGATCAGCAATCTTCCTACGATCAGAAGACCGCAGTGGAGAAAGATTTTTGATCTATTCTATATTAGCACATTCTTTGCAGAGGCAAAGCTTGGAGGGGTGGTGGGGTCATTTACCGTAGGCTTCTTCTTGAACATAATCGTAAGCCCAATGCTAGAAGCTAAAATCACAGAATATAGGTGAAGGCCAGCTGAAGAGCTGGAGAAGAATATGTATGTCACAGAGTTAAGAGTCAAGAGGTGACGTGAACAGGAATCTCCCGGTCTCCACATGACCCGAAAGGAAAAAGCCTTGGGAGAGCATTTTATCATACTATGTTTACTACCTACATGTATATCAGGTGTATTTACTAGATGATCTCTCTACTATGTAGCTACATAAATAGAAATGTTAACTATCTCCAGCTCTTTGATCCTTTGATTATTCTACTGTGATGGTTTTGCCTCCTTTCATCCCTTGAAATAGTCTAAATGTAGGATGTCTATATCTCAATAGCTCTGCCCACAGGTCCACGGGTGCCCAGGTGCCCAGATGTTAGTCGTAGATGACTAATTCATTACTAAATTTCTTGCTGCCACAGACTCTGAATTATCGGTCTCGATGGTTGCCTACCTCTTGTTATGGTGGTGCCAGGTCGCAAGGCTCACGGTACACACCTCTGAGATCATGAAACAACATTTAAATAGATTATATTGTATACAGTAAAGACTGTCTCATATTACACTATGCACTTTGATGTAGTCCTTCCTGGCAATGTTGAATGTGAGAGATAGATGGAAGCTTGAAGAAGCTGAGCTACGAAATTAAGAAATTTGACAAGTTGAATAGGCGAGAAAGCCAGAAGTTAGACTATGAGTTCTGATCTGGGTACTACAGTGAGGAGAAAGAGAAGGATCAATCTAGCAAAAGCAGGGTATTCATACCCTGTGACTAGCAAGCAAACTGCTCAATCGGCAAGCAAACAAGCCTGGACAAATCAAGCATTAATGGAACAATCTAACAAGTTTTGACAATCTTCAAGCCTCCTTTTGTTTTTTTCAGTTAAACCCCAAGTCGGTGTCGGAGGACTGATCTTCTTTGGCAGTTAGCAGGTTAATAAAATAGTAACACTATGTATTGTTTCAAAATATTAGAATTCCATCGAAGAATGCGGATCGAATATATACAAGCAGGGATTCCTAGAGCTAAAAGGATCAAACCCCCAGGTCGCTATGCATTGCGATACTCAAAAGTCGCGTCTAACATGCGAACAATGGCTTTAGTGGGCGAAGAAGCCATCGTAAAATTGCAGGTAGAAAAACAAAAGAAGCCGTCCAATTGTCTCGGGGTATATGCTTGACGGTCTTCTCGTCTTGGGATTTCGACAACTCGAAACCGCTACTATGTGCACACTGTGGCACAACATTCTGTGTATGTGTAGGTGGTACAAGTTCCAGAACGTCTCCGGCTGGATCGGCGTCACCATTTGGCGGGTACCTCACTGGGGTCTAGCACCATGTTTTCGACATTCTCTGCTTCTGGCTGAATCTATGGCGTCGCCCTAGGGGACTTCAGCTCTTCGGATCATCGGGGCTAAACTTCCAGCGTCGGTGGTTCTCCGCAATCCACCACTGGGATATATGGGCGGCTTCGCTAACCCACATTGCGGCATCAGGCCCATGCCGAGTCTGCACAGCATCATACAGAGACACAATATTCATGTCTTCCTCGGGATGGAACTCGAGTGGGTCGGCTACGACATCGGTGAATCGCCACGGGGCATCTGCAATAAGCGGCACGACAAGACGGTAAGGTTTCGCGGCTGCTCGCATAGAGATCCACGTTCCTCCAGGATTCATTGTAGAGAAATGCCATTCTTGCTTCTTATCTTGCTCGGGGATAAGTGGGCGCAGCAGGGACTGGCCCTCGTATAAGGGGAGTAGGTCCTTCAATATATGTGCCGACTGCTCGTTGATAGAGGAGGTTTCGATTAGGATATCGAGGATACTGGGGAGCATTTGAGTTGAGAGGACAGCGCTGCTAATTTCGACTTGGGGTAACTTGGGATGGGCGACGAGCAGGGGAACGTGGAAACTGCCAACATGGGGGTCATGGTTGGCCGTTACACCACCATCATTTGGAAGAGATAAACCGCTAAAAGCGAGTTAGTGGCTGTCTTTCCATCCCACCATCTTCTCATGCTCTAACGAAACACAAGAAAATAGCCAGGGAAAAGTCGATGGGCTGTAAAGAGTGAATATAACTTACTGATCACCTGCCATAACAAGTAGTGTCTCGTCGATGACTCCAGCCTCTTCGAGAATCTCAAGGATGGTGGCCAGCCAGTCATCCTGATACTTGAGGGTATTTAGGTACCGGTTCAACCGGTCATTCCATCCATGACCATTCCCGAAATACTCCTCGTAATTACCGGGCTTGAACCAAGGAGTATGGGTGTTGTGAGTTAGATGACCGATAAAGAGGCGAGTGTTGTTCTTCTTAGCCTCAGCAAATGCATCCCGCATATAGTTCTTCAATGTGTGATCGGGATGACCATATTTCTGTTCGTCCTCTGGCTCCTCTGGGATGTATATAGCACCGTCTTCATTGATTGATTCTTTGGTCGTGATATCTCTGAACCCCATTGCAGGGGTAAGCCCATCCTGATGGTCCCAAGTGCCATAGTGGGACTGCATCCACATAGAATGCCATGGCCAGGAGATCCAATCCTCGGTCTGGTTGGTAATGTTTGACTGTTGGTTCAGCGCGTCAAATATGTGGGGTAGGCAAGGTTGGTAAATATCGTGTAGATACTCAAGGTTGCCCTGGACAGCGATGGGGCTCACACCGCACATAGTGCCTGTAATACTCTTCATAGTGTATGTACCAGATGTGTAGGCATTTTTCGCGCTGAGG